TTTTTTTTTTTATCCATTCAGTAACTCTATGTCTTTGTTGGTATATTCAGTCCATTAACATTTAGGGTGATTATCAATAGATATGTGGGCTTTAGATATCTGGTAAGCGAAGAGTCAAGGGTAGCTTCTTTATACTATCTAAGACTCTAACTTAACTCACTTAGTATGGTATTAAAAACACAATGTAAAGGTTCCTTTTTTTTCTTTTTTCATCCCTTCTTTTTCTTCCTCCTCCATTCTTTATATTAGTATCATATTCTCTACTCTCTCTGACTTTGGGGGTGGTTGATTTAATTTTGCATTTGCTTAGTAATTAATTGTTCTACTTCCTTTACTATGGTTTTATTTTCCCTGGTGACAGCTGTTTACCCTTAGGACCACTTCCATCTATAGCAGTCCCTCCAAAATACACTGTAGAGATGGTTTGTGGGAGGTAAATTCTCTCAGCTTTTGTTTTTCTGGAAATTGTTTAATCCCTGCTTCAGATGTAAATTATAATCTTGTTGGGTAGAGTATTCTTGGTTCGAGGCCCTTCTGTTTCATTGTATTAAATACATCATGCCACTGCCTTCTGGCCTGTAAGGTTTCTGCTGAGAAGTCTGATGTTAGGCTGATGGGTTTTCCTTTGTATGTTATCTTCTTTCTCTCTCTGGCTGCTTTTAATACTCTGTCCTTATCCTTGATCTTTGCCATTTTAATTACTGTATGTCTTGTTGTTGTCTTCCTTGGGTCCCTTGTGTTGGGGGATCTGTGCACCTCCATGGCCTGAGAAACTATCTCCTTCCCCAGATTGGGGGAATTTTCAGCAGTTAGCTCCTGAAAGACACTTTCTATCCCTTTTTCTCTCTCTTCTTCTTCTGGTTCCCCTATAATATGAATATTGTTTGTATTGGATTGGTCACACAGTTCTCTTAATATTTTTTTATTCCCAGAGATCCTTTTTTCTCTCTGTGCCTCAGCTTCTTTGTATTCCTATTCTCTAATTTTTATTTCATTTACTGTCTCCTCTACTTCATCTAACTGTTTTTAAATCCCTCCATTGTACATTTCATTTTGGATACTTTTGTATTTTTGAAAGTTTCTCTCTCTTTAATTCCTCCCCGAGGTCTTAAATATTTTTCTGTAGCTCCATGAGCATGTTTATGATTTTTATTTTGAAATCTTTTTCTGGAAGATTGGTGAGTTCAGTTTCACTTAGCCCTGTTTCTGTTGTTTGTGGGATTTTGGTTTGTACAAGGGTCTTTTGATGTTTCATGTTTATAATAACAACTTTGTGTAGGTGGCAACCTCTAATGCCCAGAAGCTCTACTCTCTGGAGCTGCTCAGCCCCTGGAGCGGTGTCAGGAGTCCCACGCTAGCAGCGCTGGTGCCTGCCAGGAGGAGAGGGCTCTGTCCTGATTCCCAGCTTCAGTGCCTGCCTTCAGTGCCAGCGTCAGTGGGCCGAGCACACTGGGAAGATCCTCTATGCTACACCCATGTAGCTGACAGGTGGGCCCACCCTCTGGCTGGCCTGGAGCAGTGGTGGGAGCAGCAGATTTGTGATCCTGTGCCAGCTCGGAGGAAGGAGCAGCAGGCTGTGTATGGCAGTGAGAGGCCTTGTAGCTGCATTACCAGGCAGGTGTATGGAGTGTCTGAAGCTCTTGAAAGTTTCCAACCTACTAGGCTGAGTGTGCCGGGACAATTTTGTCCACCTGTCCTTTCTCCTGAGCAGCATGCTCTGGGCAATCTTTGCCCCTTTAGCAGCCCTTTCATTTTTGGGAAGTTTCTCAGAGTGCCCGTCTTTCTTTTGATCCAGAGCCTCCTGTTGTGGGTACCTGTTCTCCACCAGCGGCTGGAATCTCAGTCTCTCCAAGTATTCCACCAGTCTTAGCTTTTCAACCCCACTCATCTCTAGAGCACCATGTAATGTAGGTTCGTGCTCCCAGAGCAGATACCCAGGGCTGCGTTCTCAGTAGTCCTAGGCTTCCACCCCCTCTCCACCCCATTTCTGTTCCTCTTGCTGGTGAACTGGGTTGGGAGTTTTCTCAGAGTGCCCGTCTTTCTTTTGATCCAGAGCCTCCTGTTGTGGGTACCTGTTCTCCACCAGCGGCTGGAATCTCAGTCTCTCCAAGTATTCCACCAGTCTTAGCTTTTCAACCCCACTCATCTCTAGAGCACCATGTAATGTAGGTTCGTGCTCCCAGAGCAGATACCCAGGGCTGCGTTCTCAGTAGTCCTAGGCTTCCACCCCCTCTCCACCCCATTTCTGTTCCTCTTGCTGGTGAACTGGGTTGGGAGGACTTGGGTCCTGCCGGATCACAGCTTTGTACTTTACCCTTTTCCGTGAGGTCTGCTCTTTTCCCCAAGTATAGGCAGTCTGTTGCAGTCTTCTTTCCTGTTGCTCTTCCAGGATTAGTTGTATTTGCTATTTTTTCATATTATATGTGCTTTTTAGAGGAAATTTCTATCTCACCTGTCATGTCACCATCTTTAAGTCCTTCCAATCACAGATATTTTCATATCATTTTATTGATACTGTAGACATACTGAAATATCATTGATGTTTTTCACTATTTGAGAATTACTGTAGCATTAGGCTCACTGGTATGTCTTACTATTTAATGTGTTCATAAAGAAGAAAACTCAAAGCAGAGAGAGACCTCCTTTGAAGGACCTTCTCAGAGAAGGAAGGTTGGTATATTTTAAGAACTCAAAGAAAGCTAGTGTTGCTGGGCCCATGAGCAAGCAGGCGTGGAGTGTCATGGTGGGAGAGATAGGTAGGAATCACATCATTCAGCCTTTGCTGGTGATTACAAGGAGTTTGTACTTACAGTAGTAGAAGGCGAGGCCAAGTGTCATTTTGCTTCCTGAATAGATTATATAGTATGAGAAATGAATGGAGACACTGGGTCAGGAGGCTACTTCAGTGGTCTGATTAAGAGATGATTCTGGTTTGCAAGAGGGCATTGACAGTGGAGAATGAAGAGGACAGTTTTAATAGTTGCTTAAAAGCTTAACTAAATGAAAATTGCTGAAAGATCATATAGAGATGAGAGAAAAAGGATTATGCTGGAAAGAATTCCCTGTTTCTGGCTTGAGCTGTTCCAATATGCTCCATTTTGGTATCTTCAAACCATTTAATGTGCCTAAGACCCCCATTCTTGGTAAGAAATGCCTTCACAATAATAGGTATCAGATACTGAACATTTTACTCAAAGACATTTACATGTTCTTCTTTACCCTCCAGTAATCATGAGTTAAGGATGATCTCCCTTTTACAGATGAAGAAATGGGAGCTTTGAAAGGTCAAGTAATCGCCTGGGAACATGCAGTGAAAGAGTGTCAGAGTTGTCACTCACTGCTCATCAGTGTGCTTCTGGTTCCTGTCATCTTTCCGTGGCAGTATTTTGCACTGTTTCTGTCTGTCTGCCTTAAACTTTAGCTGCCTGCTCTTTCAGTCACTACAGTGGTACATGAACAAGTCTCTCTCTGTCTTCTCCCAAGATCAGCATCACAGAATTCCAAGGCAAATGGTATTTTCACTGAATCCTCAGCACATAACATTTTCTGGGTATTCCCTGTATGCCACTCACATCAGATGTGTTAATACCGTAGATTTAGCTCAGGCTCTTCCCCCATGTGGCTGGTCCTCTGTAATTTTTCATCCAATATGTTCTTCCCCCGTGTGGCTGGTCCTCTGTAATCTCTTTAAGTATATCCTTTATTATGGAGCCTGTTCTGTTTCTTCCCCAACTGGTATGCTGAAATTCTGACACTACGCCCCAAAGTTCACATAGACCTCACAGGGTAACAGCAAGTCCTGCATAAGGCTGCTCCCGCCTCAGCTGTCAGCTGCAAGTCTCAGGGGATACTCAGACCACTCCTGCTTCTAACCAACTGGCTATAAATCCAGGGACTTCCATGGTCCCTGCAGTTTCAATAATTTGCTATAATTATTTGTAGAATGCAGGAAAGTTATATACCTAAAATTGTAGTTTCGCTATGGAGAATACACATTAGGGCAAGGTCTGATAGGTTTTCTTATGTAGTGGTTCCACCCTCTCCTTGTGGGGTCAGTATGTCACCCTCCCAGCATGTCAGTATCTTTACCAACCAGAAAGCTCCACTGAGCTTTGGTGTCCAGCGTTTAATTACACTGACATGACTGATTAAGTTACTGACCAATCTCTGGCCCTTCCATATTCCATGGAGGTGACATAGCTGAAGGTCTCAACCCTGTAATCCCATACTTGGGTTTTCTGGTGACCATTCCCCAACTAGAAGCTATTTGGGACCCAGCATGAGTCACCTCATTAGCATAACAAAAACACTTCCATTATCACTGAGGGAATTCCAAGGGTTTTTGAAGCTCTGTGCTAGGAACTAGGCAGAAAGACCAAATTTATCCTTTATCAGTTCCCAAGAATATTTATTTCCATTTCATTTTCCTTCAGATCTGGAATCAATGTATGAAACCAAGGTATTATCTCCAAAGAAGAAAGTTAATGGAAGAGAATCATGCCAGAGGGAGTTAATGGGACTTACAAAGCATGGTCTTGAGTACTCCAACTTTAGAGATGTGTTGGAATCCAGAAGCCACTTTGAAAGACAACTAGGGTATCAAAATGGGCATATCATCCAAGAAGTACTCACTCATGAAATACCCACATTTATTCAACAGACATTCCTTACACCTCATCAGATAACTGTAAATGAAGAAAAACCCTATGAATGCAAGAAATGTGGAAAGGTCTTTAGTCAGAATTCACAATTTATTCAACATCAGAGAATTCATATTGGTGAAAAATCTTATGAATATAAGGAGTGTGGGAAATTTTTTAGTGGTGGCTCACGTGTTACTCAATGTCTGGTGAATAAGCCCTTTGAATGTAAGGATTGTGGAAAGGCCTTCAGTTATAACTCACACCTTTCTCAACATCAGAGAATGCATACTGATAAGAAACCCTGTGAATGTAAGGAATGTGGGAAGGCCTTTAGGTACTACTCAAATTTTATGGACCATCAGAGAATTCACTCTGGTGAAAACCCCTATAAATGTAAAGTATGTGGGAAAGCCTTTACTAAGAGCTCACAACATTTCCTACATGTGCGAGTTCATATAGGTGAAAAGCCATATGAATGTAAGAAATGTGGCAGAGTTTTTACTGAGAACTCAAAGCTTGTTCAGTATCAGAGAATTCATACTGGTGAGAAACCCTATGTGTGCAAGGAATGTGGCAAAGCCTTTAGTTATGCCTCAGCACTTACTAATCATTAGAGAATTCACACTGGAGAGAAACCCTATGATTGTAAGGAATGTGGGAAGGCTTTTACTCAGAGTTCACAACTTCTTCATCATCAGAGAATTCATGCTAGTGAGAAACCCTTTGAATGTCTTCAGTGTGGGAAGGCCTTCACTCAGAACTCCCAACTTCTTCAACATCAGAGAATTCATACAGATGAAAAGCCATATGAATGTAGTGAATGTGGAAAGGCCTTTAATAAATGCTCAAACCTTACTTGACATCTGCGAATTCATACTGGTGAAAAGCTCTATAACTGTAAAGAATGTGGAAAGGCATTTAGTAGTGGTTCAAATCTCATTCGTCACCAGGGAATTCATACTGATGAATAGTAAAGTTTAAAGCTCTTGTCATCTTTCTAATATTTTAAACAAAAAAATTCATGTTACCTTCTTTCACTATTTTTTGCTTACAGATATAAATTGACATTTGCCTGTTCGGCCCACTTCCAAACCTTGTACTAATGGCAGTTGTTGAAATAACTATCTTCTCTGTTATTTTGGTCTATCTTCTTGGTGATATGTTATATTCTTTTTTATATATTTGCTTGTGTTTTGGGGCTGTCTCTTCTTTGATCTCTATATTTGTGCTTACACCAACTTCACTCTGTTTAAATTGTGTGACCTTGTATTTTTTAAATCTTTGTAGAAATTATAACTTTGTTTTTGAAGTTAGTGTTAATCTTTTGTTTCATTTTGCAAACATATCAGAAAACCAAAAACCAAAATTCCAAGGTTAGTTGTAATCATAGCAGTTATAAATGACTACTCTCAGTTGGTAGAGCAAATCCTACCAGTTTTTTTATTTTTAAAGGAAGTATAATCATGGTATGCATGGTAAGAAACCCTGTGAATATAAGGAATGTGGGAAGGCCTTTAGGTACTACCTTCTCCTGCTTTTATCACACCAAAGAATATGATTGCCTTTTCAGTAAATGGTTATTTTCTAATGACTGTAATGACTTTTTAAAAATGATTTCATTATTCATGTTATGGTTGCACCTAAATGTTTGTAGATATAAAATGTGCCCTGAGTAGTATGTCCCAAAATTTATTTTTGGATGCTTGCTTTTATCTTTTAAAACATCTATTTTAATTACTGAAATTATCCACATTTTCTGCTTGTAAACTGTTCCTTTTCATTAATACTAAGCTCATCTTATACAGTGGTAATTAACCACTGTTAACCAAAATACTTTTTATCCTTTCAGATTTTTTTTTTACTTTTTACTTAGAGCTATAGTGGCATTTTATTTCTTATGTATTAGTAAATGTATTCATGCAGTATGGATTTTTTTGTGAGGATTCAATTAATAAATGTAAAGTGCTTAGAACTATTACTGTCACATAGTAAATGTTTAGGAAAAGTTATGCCCTACTATCATTGATACCAATGAAATATCTTCATTATTTATGGGAAGGATTTTAAACATGTTGTTTACCTTGGAATCAAAGAATTTATAATGTAAAGAGAAATGAGTATAACGAGTGATAGGAAAGCTTTTAAAAAGAAAAAAGGAATGTGTGAGTAGTCTTCATTCAGGCTTCATCTTTTATGTGGCTCAAAGATTTATACCAGTCTGAACAGCCCTGTGGATATAATAATGGGCAGTTGAAAGAGCAGCTGTCAAAAGAGCAGGAAGAGAAGACAATTTTTCCTAATAATTAGTTATCAAAACCAAAATTCACAAGTTACATTTGGCCACAATGAGAGAAACTAACAAGAAAGCCATCAAATATCTGAATATTTATTAATTCAGTGTCTCCTCCTGATGAACCTGCGTTAAGAAACAAAATCTTTATACTTTTTAAAATGTGAATGAAAATACATATATTAAAATACTAGAAAGATTATAAAATCAACATAGAACACAAGGAGCTAAAACAGGCAAAAATAAGTAAAACGGGCAAGGTATGAATAATTATAAAATGCAGAAATAAATGAAAGCAAAAAAAATTTGATAATTTGACAGAAAAAAAGCAGACATAGTTACGTGAGTTGTGTGGATAAGTATGGATGACAAATGAGAGTGGCACTGTGAATGAAAACTTGAATAAAGTCAAAAGGACTATGTTTTCGGGTGGCGAAAATCTTCTGGAATTAGTGGTGTAGGTTGCATGACTTTGTGAATATACTGAAAACTGAACAGTATTCTTTAAAAGGGTGAATATAATGGTGTATGTATTTAATCTCAAGAAACTTAAAAGCTAGTACTTATATATTTTTACAGTATATCTGAAAATATATACAGTGGGATTTTAATAAAGAAACTGGTGACATCAGACTTAATAGGTAAAATCTTAATAGATTCCTCTCCAAAAGGAACACTCTAAAATTAGATCAAAATTACTTAAAATGTCAGCCAGCCACACTAAGTAAGATACCAAACTAGATATATTTAGGAGCTCTTCCAGGACATAGAGTGAGATAGCAAGTTGTCTTTCAGAGGTACTTCAACAACATGCTGTCACTCTATTTATTAAGGTGCATTTAACTTAATTTCATTACAAAACACAGGAAATCCTACCTATAGCTCTCAAATGTAAGGAGTTACAGACCCGTCGAAGCTGCTGGTCACTGCAGATCTTCCATACCTTCTATGTGGGATGAGCTCTGTTGGAACCAGGGCTCAAGTTTTCCCACTCCAAAAGCCAGAATGGAGAGGTGGGAAGGATCAGGGAGGGAGGGGAGAGAAAGAGGAGAAAGAAAGAAGAAAATGCAAAAGGGAACATCCTGCAAATGTGGATATGAGCGAAGCACTAAAGAGTCCAATTACACAATGAGATGGCAGGATCCCCTTAAAAAGGGTGCGTGCAGCCCCTAGGGCACAGCATCATCACACCGGCTGCTCTAGGAAAACCCAGAGAAGTCAGCCATCAGTTTGAAAGCACAAACTGATGAAAGTAACAGCTGATAGGTTACAGAAGGGTATTTTATTGTTAACGGACTTGTACCAAGTTAAGATTTGAGAGGGGGAGAGGCAACGTGCAGGCAAGGAATGCTCTGATACTTTTTCCCCCAACCTGAGCCACTACAATTACTCTGATGTGAATTTTTGATGACTTCCGACGTCTTGCATGGTTAATGATCACTTCAGCTGTCATGTCTGGTTAACGTGGAAAATGCATTTGCTGCATGGTGATGCAGTGCTGTGGCCGCAGATTGTAACACCAGTTACGTGTGAAGCTGGTCCCTTAACTGAGCAGCAGGAATTTGCAGGTGCCATGATGCTAAAATAAATGGTAGTTAAAAGATGGTATACAGCAGCAGGCAGATTCTGCCATTTTAGCCTGAGACAGACAGACACAGCCTTAGACAGAATGTGTAGATGCAACATACACTAGCATCTCAGATCGCCGTGCCCTCAACAACAGCACTATCCTTCAAACGGAACAATAGATTCAACATCTTAAATGTCTGGCCTCTCAGTAGTTAAAAGATTTCAATACTGTTTAAATAACTATTCAGGTTAATACTAGCTTTGTACAGAACGGACGGTATTTGCATTTCACGACTATACAGCCAATGAAACTGTCAGTGACACAGGAAAATGTAGGCATTTGATTAACATATGCTCAGCTCAACTGTCACTTCTTTGTACAACACTTAGGGAAAAATACATGATGTATAAATAATGAATATTCCCATGCTACCATAATGGTTTTTAAAAGACCTCCTCAGAAAGGGATTTTTTTCCTCTGTGTTTTGAGGTATAACCTGAAACCTGGAGACTACGTTAAAATACTAACGTGTTTTTCACAGTCACTAAAAGAAATTCAATGCAGCAAACAAGTGTGCAATATGGCAAGCTTGTGAAAAAGCAAAGATGAAACTGCACCGAGAACCAGGCACCACATGATTAAAATCAGGCCAGTCAGGTAGTAGACCATCATTACAGTGCAGACCGCAAAAGAAAAACCGAGAACGACCCTTCATCTTCAAAAACAAAAACCACACACCCTACAATTGCAATCTGTTGGGTGCGACACCAACATCTATACTGCCCAAAACTGAAGGGCACATGATATATACCAACTTCACAATATATTTTTATACACATATGAACTTGGCTACATAGCATCTAGAATTTGGCAAACGAAGGGTCTTATTCATATATAATCGCCATTTCGGTACTTAAAGAGGCAGAACCAAGTTGGAGATCTTTATGCTTTAGAACAAAAGTAACTAATAATTAATTCATATTTCCTGTCTCAGAACTTTTGTCGATGAAATTGCTCAGAGTTGACACGTTTCAGATCCGTCTGGCTGATACAAAAGACGGATGAAAACGTGAACACAGGAGGGCACGGGTGTCTGAACAGTGAATAACAAAGAAAGAACTTACGTGACCAACAAAATCACTGCTGTATCTGTTTGGATGCTGCCAAAGGGAAGAGTTTTATATTCACCAGAGGAAATAACTGGTGCTATTTATACCTTTTTTCTTCAAAATGAGCACATAAAAATGTTATACCTTTTTCTATTTTACAAGTTTTGAGGCGAGAGTAAAATAATTTTTTTTTTTTTTTAATTTTTAAACAGAATGGCTAAACGGGAGAAGACTGAACTTTGAAGCCACATACCTGGTTCAAATCTAGAATGTTCACTTTTACTAGCTGAAGGTGAGTAGATTTACCCTGAGGTTAAAATCCAAGTCTCTCCTCTCCATTTCCTCATCCATACAAAGATGATAATCCCTACCAACCTCAAGGGGTTGATAACTGTCTTGCCAATGGGTTTCAGCCCTGGGGCAAGTTCACCATGGATTCCGTTGAGACCAAGGAATGACAATGGAACATTCTTGGGGTAAAAGGGTTTATTACCTGGCTTGTTCTGCCCGAGATAGGTAGGAGATAGGTGGAGCACTAGAATTAAGTCTGCATCCAACATACTGGCAGGTCTGTCATCCTCCTCCGTCTCTGCCTCCACCCAGAGCACTGGGCCGAGCCCTTTATACAGTGACTCAGTCAATAATACCTTATAGCCTGTGGGTGTGGAAGCAGTAGCCTAGCAGTAGGCCAGCTACATCATTAAGTAGTTCAGGTTAAGGTGAGGATCCTGGACATAGGAACTTCGATTTTCCCCACGATAATACACAGAGTATTCTACAAACTCTACTGACTTATATCATTGTAAAATGCTATTTTAGCTTTTTTCCAAAGATGCCAATTTGGCAACATTTTGTCACTTTTAATTATAAAAATCTCAGGTTCAAAAAATTCTTCGAGTAAACAGCTGATACTAGATTACAACTTATTTAATCACAACTTTGTATCATTCAGTAAGAACTTCTGGAAGACAATTACAATTTTTAAATATATGTTATATTCCCTACTACCAAATACGGTTTTTATTAGAAATCTAAGTTTCCACAATGGTATCATTCGAAAGAAAGTCAGCATTTCATTTAAAGGGTAAATCTTGCCTTCCAATTCTTATTAATTAGACTTAATAGGATTAAAACAGACTGTGGGTAAAATTGCAATATTTGCAGAATCTCTTGCCTGGCCTTAGTGCATCTCCATATCAATCGGTGTTTCCAAGGGGTGGAGAGAAGTAGTCTATCTCCATGTCGATATGTAATTACAAGGGCAAGCGAGGGCCTATCTGGACCAGAGAGGTTGGGGCGGGGGGTCCCTTCTGCAGCCAGGTCACCAGACACACGGGAGAGCAGAAATGGATGACTGCTTGAAAGCAATAAAGTGGGCTTGTCCCACTTAATTTCTCCCTCTGACTGATTTCGGTTTCAAAGGTATTTTGTCCTGGGATTTTCCCCCAGTTACTCACAGGAACAGTGTTCAATGGTAACTTTCACGATTAATGAGTAAAGCCTCCCTGGAGGCATCAAAAGTTGAGGCTGGTTCTTGCTCTCTTCTCTTCTTTTGAATATGTAAACTGTGGATAGATGACAGTATCATTTCACTTTTTACTATTATCTGTCGGCTTTCAATTACAACCACCACCAAAAAGAAAATTACACCTTAACAGCTCCTATTGTTTCAGGCACCTCTATCTTGGAAGGGGAGGAAAAGGACAGAAAGAAATGTGTTGTTGGGTAATTCTTTACGGTCCTGTGAGACTAAGTGAAAGAGAGCTACACCGAATCCTTATTCATTCAGAGGGTAGACTTCTGGAGAAAACAAAGAACTGCAATAAATGACCCGCGACAGAAGAGAAATTAAATACCTGGGTGATTCAGTACTAGCACTGGCCTGGATGACTCAGGGTTTGTGGTAGGAATGTGCAGTGTCAGCTCTCCTGATACACAAAATACCACTTGTGTTATTTCATTTTCAATCAGCAAAAAGAGGCAGCCTGGCACCACAGAAAAGTATAGGGCATCTTCTGACAAGCTCTCCATTGTCCAATCAAGCAGAAGCCACGTCAGGGATGGAAGAACTGTGGGCCCCAGCCCGGCTCGGCCCCACATCAGCCCTCTGACCCTGGGACTGGGGCTTCCCCTTTCTCTGGGTCCCAGTTTTGCCACCAGTGAGATAAGGAGTTTGGCTCAGGTGACTTTTAAGGACCTGCCCACCATGAAAAATCTACAAATGCAGGATATTTTAGTCAGTCATTAAATTCAAGGTGTAATCTAGGCCTCTTAAACTCTTGGTTTTTTTAACTATTACTCGTAAAATCACAAAGGTTCTCTGATTAACATTTGGGGCAGGGCAAGGTGAAGAAGAACTTGTCTTTGCTTTTGTTTTTCCCACCTGCAGTGCCTTCCCTCTCCTCTCCATAGGTCCCAAGTCCCCTTGCCCTTCAGGCCCCCCCTTGCCCTTCAGGCCCACTACCAAGGAGCCTTCCCTGATTCCCTAGCCCACACAAAGCTCTGCCTTTCCAACGGTGGAATCCTTAGGGTCAGGGCCAAACACCCTGGCTGTCTGTTAGGTTGATCTTGCCTTTCGATCCAATCTCAGAATGTGGGTCTCTTGCCCTCCCGTGCCAGCCCACAGGTACATTCCACAGGAAGTGGCTACTTGACTAGGGCATGGATAGGGAGGGCCAGATGTGAGGGTCAGGTAGGGTGCCCCTCTGCCTCCACCCTGCTGTCTTCCACAAGAGAGCCTGAAGCCTGCCCCTCAAGTCCCAACATTCCGTACGTGACCTCACCGGATATCGATGACCTGATAGGCCGCACTGTTGCCGTGGCAGCAGGAGTACGCAAACAGTGTTCCTGGAGAAGCACTCCTACCAGTTGGTGACCAGATAGCGGTCTGGCTGCCTGAGAATGTCTGGCTGGATCAACCATATGCGGTGTGGCTTATCCTCTGTGCCCTGGGAGGGCTGCGCAGCAGGTAGGCCTAGGCGGGACACCTGTACAAGAGTCATTGGTGGGCACACAGCCTCACCTGCCTGCCACATGTTCCTTTCGGGCCTGCCCGCAACACCTCGGAACCTCCCCGGCTGTTAACTAATACCAGTGCTCCTGCTCACTGCTGAGGGCAAGTGAAGTGTCATCCCTGGGCAAGCGTTCAGGAAGTTCCTAATCTTTATAAATGTAGCCTTCCCCCCACCTTCGGGCTACAAATACTTCCTTCTGAACTCTTTCCCGATTGGCCTCTTAGCAAAAGTCATGTGCATTTTTGTGGAAACGCAGCAGTCTGAGGAAGAGCTGTTCCTCATTTCCTCCCCCTCTGAGTAGAGCTAAAATTGTCTTTTAGTAACATCTCTGTACAGTGTGGATGATGTTTTTCACCTGGGCTGCCGCTGAGCCCACGTCTCCTTTTACGGTGGTCGGATAACCTCACCTTCAAACCTGGGCACCTTCATCATACTGTCCACATGGGTCCCATCAGACACATCCCAGACTGAGCCGCTGAGTAGCGGGGAAAAGGGTGTCACATCGATGGGAAGAGCAGAAGAGCCAAGGGGAGTGATAAAGGGACACTGAGACCTAACGGCTGAGGAAAAGACGTCCCAGGAGATGGTGCTGATGTGAGCCTAGACTAGGTACCCACATTCCGGCCTGAGCCTCCTGGTCACTCTGCTTTGGCAGTTGGCCTTGTTCAAATGTACATGAAAGTATCAGAGGGCTAGAGTTCAGCGTGGTTGAAGGCAATAGAAATGGGGCTCAAGGGGAGAGGAGTTCTTAACTGATTTTTGTTAGATTATTTTTTCCAAAACTTGAAAGGTATTTCCATTAAAGCCGCCCACAAGTGACCAACTTTAACAAATGTTTCCTCTGTTGTGGAAGGGAGAGATGGGGGGGGGGGGGATCCTGATCGCAATCATTTTCAGGTTGTGTTTTATTCTGGGAATAGGGAACAGATTTCCTGGTCTCCTGCTGCCACACGCTCCACAGAATTGCTTTTGTAGCCAACTTCGCTTCACTAGGGGATTCATAGAGGTGACGGGCCAAGGCTGGGTTTTAGGTGCCAAGTAGATCAAATGGCTTCAGCAGGAGACCAGGAAATCTGTTCCCCATTCCCAGACACGACAGAGGGAAGGTCCTGGTAGGACACTGTGGACAGGAGGAGGGACTGATCAGTTCTGGTTTTCTTTGCAGGAGCAGCAGCGGGTTCCCCTTCTCCTACACCGGGCTACTGTCACCTCCCCTACCAAGGGCGTGGTGAAACCCAGGTGACCTGGCATGGGGAGACGTACTGCCTGGTTGGTGGCTGCCGGTCTTATGGGGATGCACCTATGGCCACCCCGGCAAAGGTGAAAGCAGAGAAGCCAGTCCCCAGGCGGGCTCCCAAGAGACATGCAACTTCAGCGTCAGACGAAGAGCTTGGCTGCCCCCCGCCCAAAATTCGGCGGCTGCAACATCGTGGCAAGGGGCTGACCCCACAGAAGCTTGCTGGCCATGCCACTTGTGTAAGGAGGGCACGGGTTTAATTGCCTAAAGTAGCTAACGCCTCTCCCTGCACTGACCCAGTCCTGCCATTGCCCACCACAGGACACTGGAACCGGAGCTGCCCTGAATGAGCCTTCCTCAAGAGACCCAGAAGAGCTGCTCCCAGAGAAGGAACAAAATGGGAAGAGTTGAGCAGCACCTCCAACGGAGGCCCACAGGCTTCTTTATTCCCTGCCCTTCCTGACCCCACTATGGCCCCGTAGCATAAACAAAATGGCTTTCTGTTACAGTGTTTGACTTTAAATCCAGCTTGTCCAAGGCCAGGCCCCAAAACTCCCTGTTCCATTAAAGTGTATTCCCACATGGCATACCCGATCCTTTAAGACCTTAGCCTCCAAAAAACACCTTTGAGGGGAGCTTCTGAGATGTGCTTCCCACAATGACAACTGTACAAGTTGGGGCAGGTCACAGGCAGGTTCTGTAAGAAATGCAGAGCCTCATGAGTATTTCCCTCCGTGTGTGTGTGTGTGTGTGTGTGTGTGTGTGTGTGTGTGTGCGCGCGCGCGCACAAGCACATAAGGAGAGGAGAGGTAGGATTGAGTAGATGGTGTTCTGTCTATCCATTTATTCAACACTGAGCACCCGTTCAATACCAGCCTCTGTGCTAGATGCTTGGGTTTTATTGGTGAATAAGATGATTGAAGCCCCTCTCCTCGAGGCACCCAAAACTAAAGGAAGAGAGAAAAAAGAAAATGATATAATTTCAAGTAATTATAATTGCTATAAAGAAAATTAAAATACGATAAGATGATGGGGAGATAAGCACTAGAACTTGTGCTAGTTCACACAAGTAGTCAGGGAAGACTTCTTTGAGGAGGTGACATTTAAACGGTGATGCGAGGGAGGGAGTCTCATGCGAAGAGCTCAGGGTGAGTATACCTGGAGGGGGAAATGGCGAGTGAAAGATCCTTAGGTAGGAATGAGGCTGGCCTGTTCTAGGACCAGCAGAACAGCCAGTGTGGTGAGATGAAGAGAGATAAAGATCGAAAGATGTGATTGGACAAGTAGGCGTAGCTGCACCATAACAGGCCTTGGTGAAGTTTGCCGTGGTAAAGAGTGTGGATTAAGCGGGATGCGAAGACATGGGAGAGAGTTGAACAGGGTAGTGAAGTGACCTGCACTGAGGAAAGGAAGGGCGCAGAGAGGAGACACACCTGGGAGATGTCTGGAGCTCGAACCCACAGGATCTGGAGATGCCCTGAAAGGGGAGGGGCAGGCAGAGGGTAGGAAGCATCACCGTGACATTCAGGCCAGCTTTGGAGCCAGGCCCTGCCTGGGCTTCCCTGCCTCCACCCTGTTTCCACTTCTGCCCACTGCAAGCACCTGGATAACTCTGGTTATAGCTTCTGCCCCCAGTTGTCCCTCTGTCCAGCTCTGTCCACCGGTACTGGGGTCTCCTAGAGGACGAGGCTTTGGTAGTGTGTGCCTGTTTCCCCCTGCCTGGGAAAGGGTAGAAAGATTATCTCGGGTGAGGGCAAGTCACCCTGTTTGTTCAAACCTCCTCGCCACTGGGTGAGTATTCACAGGCCCCTGAGTTTATAAGGGTCTGGGTGTGTCTAGGTTTCTGTGGTCGACTTTGTAGAACACCTCAAGCCCATGACCAGCAGTGCCAACCTGTTTAAGGTGTGAAGTTGAATGTTAAAGAAAACTGTGCTGCCTGGCTGATAATCTGCTGAGACAGTGCCTCCCTTCTCTGGCTCGACACAGCCTATTTCTGCTGAGCTAGAGTTTCCCCCTGGTCCTGGGGTGTTAGACATCGGGCCCCTGGGGACAAGCTAAGACACCTCAAAAGCTAAATTCTCCCTTCTCATTTCTCTGTCAGCGGCCACTGTGTACTTGCCCGGACTTCTTCCTGCTTACTTCTTCCCACTCTTTGCACTCTCACTTGCTGGGGGTTGTGGCGGGGGGCCAGGGGCTGGTTGCTATCAAGAGTGGAACAGACAAAAGTTTTTGTCCTGGAGACCAGAAGATAGAAGAGTTTCTCCTCCCCTTTTCCACTCGACTTCAGGAGTGGGTGCAGGGGCTGCTGACCAGCAGTCGGGGAGGAGAGGGAGCCGGGTCTGAGTTTGGCTTACTGAGCTACCCAGGGAAGGGACACAGCCCTGGGGACTCACACTCTGCAGTGGGGCCGCCTAGAGACCCCTGCAGCTGCAGACAGCAGGAAGTATACCCACTTCTAGCATGTGTATTGGTTTGCCCTTCCTCCTGGCCTCATCAAGTGAAGGCCTCAAGTCGGAAATGGCGTGGAGCATGTCCGACAAGGACAGCAACTTAGTCCTTGAGGGAGAAAAATCAAGTATTAAAAAGAAAAAGAAACCTTAAAAGGACACTAATACCATAGGAACTTGAAAGTAGGAGAAAGTAGACTACAGTGCTATATGTTATATACAGTGCCTATGTTATAAGTCCTGTCCATATATGTGTGGGTCTATTTTCTGTTTGGACTATTTTTTTAAATCATAGTATCAATATACAATGTCTTAATTTTGGCAACCTTAAAACAACTTGATATCTGGTAGAGTGAGTCTTCCCACTTTAAGCGTATTATATCAGTCATTAATCAGATAAGTAAATTGAATTATGTAAAAAAGATCTTTAACATAGGGAGGAGACCTTAGACATACGTAGGAGCCAATGGAAAAAATATATTGAAGGCTGTTTGTTACCTGTGTATCTGTTGTTGGATCTAAATGTATGCAGATAAGGTGGAAGTTAGGAAAGAGCTGGATTTGAGGTGTGAGGTGAGGAGAAAAAGGATGAACCCATAAGGAAAAACCGACAGTTGTGTATCCATTGGGGGAAAAAAATGAATATTGACTCCTAGTTCACACCATCCAGAATACAAAATAAAATGAATTTGAATATGATATTGATTAATGACAAAGGAAAAGACTGATGAACTGATACATTAGAATGAATAACATTCATCATAAAATAGTTATAAAATATCGTAAAAAAGAGTGGAAAAGCAGAGTAAGAGATATTGTCAACACATATAATTGACTAAGGACTTTTTCCAGAGACAGACAACCTAATCAAAAAACATTTGAATAAGAACTCTACAAGATAGGATAGCCAAATGGCCAATAAGAATATGATAAGGTAGTCAACCTTATATCACTAAGGAAATGCAAAATAAATCTCATAATGAAGATAACTAAATTCAACAGATGAACAATACCAAGTTTTAGCAGAAATGTGGAGACAGGCATTCTCACACCCTGCTGGTGGCAGTGCAAGGTGATACAAACTACTTTGGAAAAACAGTTTGAGAGTATTTACTAAAGTGGAAGACATACAGCCAAGGACAGTTACACAAAATGACTTGCAAGAATCTCACAAAATAACGTGTAGTGTAAGAAGCCAGGCACAAAATAACACATGTCATGTTATTCCATTTATATGAAATACAAGAACAGTGAAAACTGATCAATGCTGTTGAAACAGTTTTGAGTTTTCCTTGGGGGAGGTAACGGCTTGCAGGGGGCCATGAGGAAGGGTTTCTGGGTTGCTGGGAAAGTGCTGTATATTGATCTGGGTGCTGGTTACAAGGGTATGATCATTTTGCGAACATTCAGCATGCTGTGGAGCTTTTGTGTATGGGTATTTTTCTTCGATAAAAAGTTTTTCCAAAAAATAACAAAAGGCAAAACTTAATGTTAAGGGATGCATGCTGAGGTTGTGCCTTTATATAAGTAAACAAGAAAGTGACTGTCAGCAAACTCAGGTTGTTAGCAGAAAAGTGCCTGTGCTACAGTTATATGTTAATTAGATCTTGGTTTTTGCCTATGAGGTTATTTTTTCAGTCAGTAGTACAAGGAACGTTGTATCCTAGCCACAGAGCCCCCAGAGTCTAAGGTTGCCATTGGGCTATAGAGGCCTATTTCCTCTACACAGCACCTGACCCCACCCCTGAGAGGAAAGGTGTGTGGCGTTGGGATGGGAGATACAGGGAAATTTGGGGAGATGGGGGGGACAGACCTGTTCACTCTATTCAAAAACTGTGTTGGGCTGAGGACTAAGATACCATGGGGACAAGACTGAAAGGGAGTCCAGTCTGCCGGGCACAAAAAAACATTAATCAAAGATCTCCACCAACATATTTCTCCCTGCAGTAGGTACCATGAAGGGAAAATACTACACGGGAACCCAAGGCAGGGGAGGGTGAGGTGGGCTGGTGGGGTGTGTGTGTCAGAGAAGTCTTCTGGGAAAGAGGTGGTGCTCCAGGCTGAGACCTCCAGACAGAGGAGTTTGATGAATAGCCAGTGATGCACAGAAACTTCCTGAGTTTGGGAAATGAAAAAGGCCTTCTGGGGAGGGATGCAGCTTGACAGGCTGAGGGGCCGAATGGAGGCAGGCTTGTGGGCCAAGAGAAGAGCTTGGGCTTTTTCTTCAGAAGACGTGGCTCTACCAAGAGCAGGAAGAGAGAAAAGGGAGTCCATTTGGAAGGCTGCTACTGTGGGCAGCTGAAGGTGGTGTGATGGACAGGAGGTCAAGTTGACAGGCCTTGACCAGGATGACTGTGGGGTACTGGCCAGAATATTAGCTATGAGATCCTCCTGCAGAGCCCAGCCATAGATTCCTGGTTCCACCCGCGGAGCTGAAGGCTTGGAAGAAAGGGCAGTCAGAAGGTGCACAGTCTGAGGTCAGTTGTGAAGATACCGCTGATTCTGGGATCTAAAGCCGTCTGGGCCATAAAATGGAGACAAATGAAGATAAACAAGATGAGTTCTGGGGTTTTCTGACAGAGAAACAAATAGTTGAATGAAAGCCTAGAAAGATAAAGATGTTAAAATAAAGCCAACTGGATAAGTTATCTGAAGTAGTGAAGTAGAAAGTGAAAGAAAAGGGCAAATAAGTAAACGATTTGGATAAAGGTACCCCCAGGAGGTGAGAGAGTAAAAGAGAAAATTAAGGTGTAAGAACTTGGCTAAGAATCCAGTGGAGTGTCCCTAAGGGGCAAGCGAGGCGGAGAGAGGTGGGTGTCTTTCCCACACCGGCAGCGCCTCGGGGGAAGGGGCTGAGAATCCCTAGCGGGCGCCAGCACTAACAAACTGCAGCCATGGGGCACAGAAAAGGGACTGGCCCTTCGCGGGGTTTTGTTTCCAAGGACGCGGAGAAGAGGTTGGAGACAGAGATGATGAAAATGGGCAAGAGGCACCCAGGAACGGAGGGAGTGCGGTCCTGCCTACCTTTCCCCATCCCTGAGTAACAGCAATGTCCCCGAGCGCTCGCTAAGCACAGAGCACAGAGGCAGCGCATCCCGCGCCCCACCTCACCGAGCCCTCAGTCCCAAGAGGTTATCTCCCCATTTTACAAGTACCGCATCTCGAGCTCAGAGAGGGCGGCCCCTCACCCAAGGTCACACAGGAATCGGGCTCTCCCCAGGCACGGAGAGGTTAGTAGTACTCCCCCCGGGGGCCTTCATTCTTCTGGGACCCCCCTCGGGGCGGAGCTGGCCTGAGCCCCTCCTGCTCCCGCCGCAGAGGGGCGGCCCGGGGAGCGGGCGGAGGAAGTGAGCGCCGCGGGGGGGAATGCGGGCGGGCGGGGCGCAGCGGCCCCGGGCGGAGGGGACAACCCCACACGCGGCAGGGACGGCGGGCGCGGCGGGCCGAGCGCGCGCGATGACTCACTTCACCGTGGTGCCGGTGGACGGGCCGCGGCGCGGCGACTATGACAACCTCGAGGGTCTCAGTCGGGTGGACTCCGGGGTGCGCACGGAGCGGGCGGACTCGGCCGGTGAGGACACGCCCGGAGGGGGCCCTGGCGGGGGCAGGGGAGCCGGGGCTCCCGCACAAACGGACGCCCGGGACGTGCACGCACACGTCGATGCGGGCCCAACTTTCTATAGTCTGCGCCGCCGCCACCGATCAATCCCTCGCTTCGCGCGCGCGGAGACGATTTTCCTGGGCCGCCCTCCCAGCCCCAGCTCCTCCCTTGGCGGCCGCGGGCGGGGGCTGCAGACGTGGCCGACGGTGGAGGCCCGGCCAGCTGGGCCGCCGGGAGCGTGAATAGCGCCTAGCCCCATCTCTGGCTCTTCCCTCTGGGAGCACAACCGCCGCCCTGACCCTAGCCCCTTCACCTTCTCTGAACTGCCCCAGCCTCTTCTCTCCTCGCCTGCCCGTTGGCGCCTCTGCATCTCAGCCCCTGCCACTGCCCTCTCTTCGCCCCCAACCATGTGCCTCCCTGCACCCCGGCGGCTGGCGGGACCGAAGGGTGTGCCTGCCCGAGGGGGCTGTGGGTACCTGCCTGCAGTGCGTTCCTGCTGATCCCATCTTAGATCTGTAGGTACAGGGGCATCGGTGGAGCACTCGTACGGAACCACGCTTGTCCAGGAGCTTTACATGAATTAACTCGTTTAATCCTCCCAGTTGCACAGAATAGGTCTTGTTACTCACTCTAGGAAAGAGTGAACTGAGGCTTGGAGCGGTTATGTGACTTGCCCCAGGGGATTCAAATCTAGAGTTGGAGACTCCAGAGCCCTAATTCTTAACCTAAGTGTTAGAACAGGGTCTGAGGGTAAGCCCTCCTCCCTTCTGCCCAGTCGCTGCCTTCACACTGCCCCTTTCTCCATCTCCTACCGCAGGAGGCCCATGGGCTGTCTTGCTGAAGCCCGTTCCTGGGAGCGTGAACACTGCTGATAACATGTGTCTGTATGTGTAGCTGTGTATGCATGTGTAATTGTGCTTGTGCAAGTGTGTAGCCGTGGGTGTTACAGTGTGAAGATAGGGTCAAGGTAGCACATTCTCATGGCCAATGATGGTGATATGACTGATGACGATTGCCTGTGTCTGACTGACCGTGATGGAGATAGGCAGGAAACGTGTGTTGGTGGCATGTGTCAGGCAATGTGATCTGGACCTGGTTCTGATCTGTGTTGATGACATGACTGAGGTGATCTATGCCTGATGTAGGTGATGGCTGTCACCTGACTGCTATGTGTAGGTGGCACAGGACTGCTAGGAGGAGGCTTGGAGGTTTTACAGGCTTGACAGCTGTGTGCATGCACATGCCCCATCCCCAGGCCCTCACCTGCCCCTAGCCTTGCATCAGTGGTCAGAGCAGGACCAGCATCCCTGCTTCGCTTTTAGTCCTAGAGGTGCTCTCCCCAGATCCTGGACCAGCGGGCAGGCATAGCTGAGCCTAGTTTCTGGCACCACCTTGGCTCCCCACAGGGTGACTGGAGGGACCTGGAGCCACATTGGCTGAGTCCTGCCAGGTCTCTCCAGGCTGGCCCAGCTCCTCCCACTATCCCCCCTCCTCCTCCTCTTACTCCTCCTCGAGACGTTGGCTGCAGTGGCGGTGTGGGGGATACTTTGCATGCTGGTGAGTGATTATGAGCCTTTTTGGTGGGGACTGCAAAGGGTCAGTGCTAAGAGGGCACAAAAACAGTGAGACTCAGGTCCATCTCATGGGGCCCTCTCAGCCTGGTACCTGAATCTCACAGCCCATACCTCTGCTCCAGGGAATGTGGATGGGCCTGCTCATTCGGCCCACCTTAGCCTGTGGGCTGGGGATGGAGTAGGGGGGTACCCCTGGCCAAGGCCCATGAACATCACCTGGATTCCCACCTATAGCTGGTGTGTTCACAGCTGCTGGCAGGAACATCCATATATATGTACCTCACAGACAACCGCTAGGCCCAAGCCATGCTCTGGTTCACCTGGGGTCTCAGGTGGCATTTGAGCAGCTTTGGTGTGACAGGCATGCTCAGACCTGCCCTGGGATTTTTGGAATAGCTGAAGGCAGGCAGTACAGACATCCAGGGACTGCTTAGATCCTCCTCCCCCCGATCCCATTCACACAATCCCATGGAAACTGTCCATAAACAAGGCTTTGGGGAACTCCAAGGAATGCATGCTGGATGTCTGGCACCAGACTGTCCCTTTTATGGTGCATCTGGGCAGTTGGAAGAGTGGGTGTTACTATCTCTACTTCATAGAAAGGGAAACCAAAGCATCACAGAGAGGGTAAGCAGGTTGCCTTGAGTCACACAGAGTCAAGAATCCAAGCCAGGCTATTGGCCATCCAAGCACCAAGAATCGGTATGTGCACCCTGGCCAAACTGCAAACCCCAGACACTCCTCTAGTCAAAGGCTTGTACTATATCCTGGGATAGACTGGGACCCAGAATAGGAGTAGGGAACCTGCTGCTCAGCTCCCACCTGGCTCTGTGGATCCTGGGACCTAGGTTTGGCCCTTCTCACTGGGTAACCTTACATCTGAGTCTTTTTAAGCTTTACTTTCCTTGTTACTAAAAGAGGGCAGATGATATCTACTGGACTGTTGCTGTTGCTGAGCGATTGTTGGCTCAGAAGCAAGTCTCATACCAATGGCAACATGGTGTATCAGATGGAGGAGAGTGCATCATTAGCATTCTAGCTGCAAAGGAGAAATGAATTGTGGTCTATATAAGAGAAAGTTGGCTGCAGCTCTTCCAAAACCATGCATAGTCAAAACAACACTAGTCTGGGTCGGTGATGACACCACTGTTGCCACCTACATCATCGGAAAACCAGGCCTGTGCAGCTACCAGACTGATTGCCATCCAACACCAAATTGGCTTCATTGAATCAAGATGCGGGCGTCCCATTTGCTGTGAGGCCTCCAGCCACTGCCGCAGCTGCCAGACTAGAGGGGAAAAAGAAACACTTCCTTAGACGACCCTAGTCGAATCCCTGTGCCCTCTGGCCAGTCTCCCGCTTACCTCTCTTCCCATCATGCACCGGGCTGCACGCGAGGCTGCGCCGGCGCGGTGCATGGCTGGGTAGTTCGTAGGCGGCCCGCTGGCCATGGCAACAGAAGGCACCCTGTGTGGCTTCATCTATCTGGAGGGCAGCACCCAGCGGGCCCTGAAGACACTGCGCAGTTGACACCTGGCACACTGGGTATTCCAGATGGGCCAGGAAAATGAGAGTGGGTGGTGGGCCAGGGTTGGCCACGCCCCTCGCCATAGGCTCCGCCCCTCGTCAGTGCAATGCACACGTGAGCTAGTGTACCTGAGGCCTTCACACCCCGTTACTCTGCTAGAGTAAGTGATGTGCTGGGTTTTGGTTATTGGCCACTCTGTCAATTCTGGACCTTCAAAGAGGCTGTATGATAGGGAAACTGAGATCCAGCCTGGTAACACTATCCCGGAACGTGCTCCACAGAGGTGATGTTTTTGTGTGTTTGCCTGCTGAGGAGGGGTGCAGACTGGGGTCTCAGGAGGCAGCCCCTGAGTGGGATTCTGTCCTCTCTCCGCAGGACATGGCAGCCACAGAGAGAACAGCCCTTTCCTTTGTCCCTTGGAGGCTCCCAGAGGAAGTGACTGATGCCAGGGTTCTTGTTTGCGGAGCCGAAGAATGAGCTTCACAAACAGTCAAGGTAGGAGACCAAGGTACAGGCTTTTATTTAGAAATAAAGTGAAGGGACAGAGCTCCCGGCTCACACCAGGAGGGGACAAGAGAGTCTGTAGTGGTGCGTTGTCTAGGGGGTTTTATAGGCAGCTGAGGATTTTTAAAGAGCATGAAAAAACTTAGGGGTGTGGATTTGTTAAGTGGTCTCTGAATATTTAGAATTAACTTAACACAAGTAACTTCCTCTGATGATTTCTCCCTGAGATACCAGCATCTTGGTCTGGGGGCATATGAAACAAGGCCACCTGCTCAGCCCGCCAGGTGGGCCGAGGTATTGTTTGCTAAAGAGTAAGTTAAGAATTTCTAACGTCTTAACTTCTTGGGTATTAAAATGCAATCTTATTGTTAAGGTGGAATCCTTCCTGCCTTTTACTGTGTTTATGCGTGGGCTTACTTGCTAAATTAGTTGCCCAGTTTGCAAAATCACTTCATCAGATCTGAAGGAGAAAGACAGCACATAGGCCTGGGCCTTTTAGTATGCTAAAGAGAACCTTACACATGATTATAAGTGGTTAGCATAATAAAACATGTGCTACTCTTTTTTATCTGGGGAACATTAACTGATTTCACTGAAGAATGATTCTAGAGCTCAATGTTAAACATAGAGTTTTAGCAGGGGGGGTTTCCTTGCATGTAGTTACATTGCTCTGACTGAAAATATTCCGCCCTGCTTTTCCCCGGAGGCCCTCACCCTACTCTGACTACACCCACAGTCCCTGTCTCATGACTACTATGACAGGAACCTGGTACTATCTGAGGTAGCTGAGGAGCCATTCTGGGCTGCAGGTGTGGCAGGCAGGTTGCGGGGGCAGCTCTCAGGACTCAAGCCTTAGCTAAGCAGACAGGCTGAATGGTTGTGCCTCCTGGTCGTGGCTCCTTCTCGAGTCTCCTCTTGTCTGTCTCACTCCCTCAGCAGACAGGTTGCAGTTCCCTTGGCCCTTTGAACTGAAACTGCTTTCCCAGAGGCCACTGTACAGCCCATGTATTCTCTAAGAGGATTCACCTTTGACTTCATGCAGCCCCTCAGCAGGTGGCCTCCTCCTAGGATTTCTGTCCTCAGGATTTCCTCTGTTCCCTTCACTCCTAGGACTGTTGTCATCCATAGTTCTTCCCTTTCCTATGAACTCTTCCTGGTCTTTCCTGGTTGGTTCCTCCAATTCTGTCTCCCTCAGACTGACTGAGGCCTGATCCGTCTCACTGGATTTGCCTCGTCTCCACGTCTGCAGCCTTCAGCAGACACCTCTCTGGAAACATTCCCAATTTTCATGCCTCTGAACTTGAATGTCATCCTTTTCAGATTCAAGCTCAGAAGCTGGATCTGGCTTTAAGGCATGGTTTAGGCCCCTAACCATTCAGCTGCCCCACGGAAGGGTCATAGGCTCCTCAGTCTCCACATACCCCAGAAGACCTGTATCTTCACTTCTCACAGTTTCTCCTTATGTGGGGGGTCAAAAGGATGCTGACAGACAGGGAAAGACTAAATGTGGCCAAGTGGCAGGTAGAGGCATGGTGCTAGGGAGGCTGCTGGAGTGGGAAAGGGGTCCTGGGTCAGGGTTGGGGCGTCTGAGCCCGGGGAGGCCTCTTGTCCCTTTTATGGTGCATCTGGGCAGTTGGAAGAGTGGGTGTTACTATCTCTACTTCATAGAAAGGGAAACCAAAGCATCACAGAGAGGGTAAGCAGGTTGCCTTGAGTCACACAGAGTCAAGAATCCAAGCCAGGCTATTGGCCATCCGAGCACCAAGAATCGGTATGTGCACCCTGGCCAAACTGCAAACCCCAGACACTCCTCTAGTCAAAGGCTTGTACTATATCCTGGGATAGACTGGGACCCAGAATAGGAGTAGGGAACCTGCTGCTCAGCTCCCACCTGGCTCTGTGGATCCTGGGACCTAGGTTTGGCCCTTCTCACTGGGTAACCTTACATCTGAGTCTTTTTAAGCTTTACTTTCCTTGTTACTAAAAGAGGGCAGATGATATCTACTGGACTGTTGCTGTTGCTGAGCGATTGTTGGCTCAGAAGCAAGTCTCATACCAATGGCAACATGGTGTATCAGATGGAGGAGAGTGCATCATTAGCATTCTAGCTGCAAAGGAGAAATGAATTGTGGTCTATATAAGAGAAAGTTGGCTGCAGCTCTTCCAAAACCATGCATAGTCAAAACAACACTAGTCTGGGTCGGTGATGACACCACTGTTGCCACCTACATCATCGGAAAACCAGGCCTGTGCAGCTACCAGACTGATTGCCATCCAACACCAAATTGGCTTCATTGAATCAAGATGCGGGCGTCCCATTTGCTGTGAGGCCTCCAGCCACTGCCGCAGCTGCCAGACTAGAGGGGAAAAAGAAACACTTCCTTAGACGACCCTAGTCGAATCCCTGTGCCCTCTGGCCAGTCTCCCGCTTACCTCTCTTCCCATCATGCACCGGGCTGCACGCGAGGCTGCGCCGGCGCGGTGCATGGCTGGGTAGTTCGTAGGCGGCCCGCTGGCCATGGCAACAGAAGGCACCCTGTGTGGCTTCATCTATCTGGAGGGCAGCACCCAGCGGGCCCTGAAGACACTGCGCAGTTGACACCTGGCACACTGGGTATTCCAGATGGGCCAGGAAAATGAGAGTGGGTGGTGGGCCAGGGTTGGCCACGCCCCTCGCCATAGGCTCCGCCCCTCGTCAGTGCAATGCACACGTGAGCTAGTGTACCTGAGGCCTTCACACCCCGTTACTCTGCTAGAGTAAGTGATGTGCTGGGTTTTGGTTATTGGCCACTCTGTCAATTCTGGACCTTCAAAGAGGCTGTATGATAGGGAAACTGAGATCCAGCCTGGTAACACTATCCCGGAACGTGCTCCACAGAGGTGATGTTTTTGTGTGTTTGCCTGCTGAGGAGGGGTGCAGACTGGGGTCTCAGGAGGCAGCCCCTGAGTGGGATTCTGTCCTCTCTCCGCAGGACATGGCAGCCACAGAGAGAACAGCCCTTTCCTTTGTCCCTTGGAGGCTCCCAGAGGAAGTGACTGATGCCAGGGTTCTTGTTTGCGGAGCCGAAGAATGAGCTTCACAAACAGTCAAGGTAGGAGACCAAGGTACAGGCTTTTATTTAGAAATAAAGTGAAGGGACAGAGCTCCCGGCTCACACCAGGAGGGGACAAGAGAGTCTGTAGTGGTGCGTTGTCTAGGGGGTTTTATAGGCAGCTGAGGATTTTTAAAGAGCATGAAAAAACTTAGGGGTGTGGATTTGTTAAGTGGTCTCTGAATATTTAGAATTAACTTAACACAAGTAACTTCCTCTGATGATTTCTCCCTGAGATACCAGCATCTTGGTCTGGGGGCATATGAAACAAGGCCACCTGCTCAGCCCGCCAGGTGGGCCGAGGTATTGTTTGCTAAAGAGTAAGTTAAGAATTTCTAACGTCTTAACTTCTTGGGTATTAAAATGCAATCTTATTGTTAAGGTGGAATCCTTCCTGCCTTTTACTGTGTTTATGCGTGGGCTTACTTGCTAAATTAGTTGCCCAGTTTGCAAAATCACTTCATCAGATCTGAAGAGGAAAGACAGCACATAGGCCTGGGCCTTTTAGTATGCTAAAGAGAACCTTACACATGATTATAAGTGGTTAGCATAATAAAACATGTGCTACTCTTTTTTATCTGGGGAACATTAACTGATTTCACTGAAGAATGATTCTAGAGCTCAATGTTAAACATAGAGTTTTAGCAGGGGGGGTTTCCTTGCATGTAGTTACATTGCTCTGACTGAAAATATTCCGCCCTGCTTTTCCCCGGAGGCCCTCACCCTACTCTGACTACACCCACAGTCCCTGTCTCATGACTACTATGACAGGAACCTGGTACTATCTGAGGTAGCTGAGGAGCCATTCTGGGCTGCAGGTGTGGCAGGCAGGTTGCGGGGGCAGCTCTCAGGACTCAAGCCTTAGCTAAGCAGACAGGCTGAATGGTTGTGCCTCCTGGTCGTGGCTCCTTCTCGAGTCTCCTCTTGTCTGTCTCACTCCCTCAGCAGACAGGTTGCAGTTCCCTTGGCCCTTTGAACTGAAACTGCTTTCCCAGAGGCCACTGTACAGCCCATGTATTCTCTAAGAGGATTCACCTTTGACTTCATGCAGCCCCTCAGCAGGTGGCCTCCTCCTAGGATTTCTGTCCTCAGGATTTCCTCTGTTCCCTTCACTCCTAGGACTGTTGTCATCCATAGTTCTTCCCTTTCCTATGAACTCTTCCTGGTCTTTCCTGGTTGGTTCCTCCAATTCTGTCTCCCTCAGACTGACTGAGGCCTGATCCGTCTCACTGGATTTGCCTCGTCTCCACGTCTGCAGCCTTCAGCAGACACCTCTCTGGAAACATTCCCAATTTTCATGCCTCTGAACTTGAATGTCATCCTTTTCAGATTCAAGCTCAGAAGCTGGATCTGGCTTTAAGGCATGGTTTAGGCCCCTAACCATTCAGCTGCCCCACGGAAGGGTCATAGGCTCCTCAGTCTCCACATACCCCAGAAGACCTGCATCTTCACTTCTCACAGTTTCTCCTTATGTGGGGGGTCAAAAGGATGCTGACAGACAGGGAAAGACTAAATGTGGCCAAGTGGCAGGTAGAGGCATGGTGCTAGGGAGGCTGCTGGAGTGGGAAAGGGGTCCTGGGTCAGGGTTGGGGCGTCTGAGCCCGGGGAGGCCTCCTGGCCCAGAAGAGTAGTAAGTTTCTGCAGCAAAGGCCTTGACCTGGCCCCACCTGGAGAGGGGCTAGGGGACCAGGATCCCACCTTGGGGACTGAGGTAGGTTACTCACAGGGCCCGGGGCCTAGGGGAAGACCAGACAGATCAGGGTTTGGCAGGTAAGAGATTTCACTTGTCCCAGGTATCCTCCTTCTGACTTCCTTGGTTCTGTGGGGTGACTAGGGTGGCTTTTTTGTGGGAGAGTGGAAGGCAGATATCAGCCCCAGAGGCCCACTCATAGCTAGGAGGTGTCCAGACAGCACAGGCAGGATGCATGTGCCATTTGTCTGTCTGCCAGCTGCGTCCTGCCCTGCCCTCTCCCTGAGGTAGGTAGTTTCACAAATGCTCGTAGTGATTGTAGCCAAGGTGGGTCAGAGAGAAGCAGCCACTGGGCTGAGCCTTTGAGTGCTGTGTGCTGGGGTGTGGTGTCCACATCTGCCCAGTTGGCTGGCTTGGGCTTCCCCAGGCAAGAGCTGGGATCAGGCCCAGGACTGCCTCAGGGCTTGGCAAGGGGCCAGAGGCCAAGCTGTTGGCTATGTGAGCTACACACAGGTAGCCTGGCGCCAGCTGGGCCCATTGCCAGGTTGGCCTGTGGTTGTTTATAGGAAGAGCTGGACATCCGCCCAAAGGTATCATCTCTTCTGGGCAAGCTCGTCAGCTACACCAACCTCACACGGTGCCAAGGAGCACGAGGAGGCTGAGAGTGGAGAGGGCACCCACCAGAGAGCAGCCAAGGTGAGCTGGTCAGCGGCGGCTGAGGGACCACTCCTGGGAAGACAGACAGACTCAACATCCTGGAATTGTCAGTTTCCCCACATGGTTGTGAGCACCCCTGAAGTAGGTGCCAAGTGTGGTGAGCCTGGATGATGGGCACTGAGTGCCTTGGGCTTAAGTAGGCTTCAAGGGGTGGGCTAAGGAGGAGCCCCTCAGGGAAGCAGAGGGCCACAGGGGGCAGAGACCACGGACGCCCTCAGCACTGACAGTGGGACCACCAGCTGCCTTTACTCAGCTCTGTGTGGGCTTTACTCACGCTAAACAGTGGACCTGGGTTCTTGCATGTGATCTTCACACCAAAGCTGTAAGGCAGGTGCTATAATCATCCCCAATGGTACAGATGGGGAAGCTGAGTGTCAGGGGTCTCAAGTATCCTAAGATGACTCAGCCAGACAAGATCAATGTGTAACACGGGAGACAGATTTGTGGATTCACTGTAATATGTGACTATGCAGCATGCCAGATCTCTGGCATCCCATCGAGTTGGACAACAGTGTTAACTTTGGAACCAGGAACCTGGTTGTCCCTTGGGGCTTTGTGACCTCGAGCAAGTGACCAAACCTCACCGCATTGCCCCTCAGTGTGTTGGCCCCACTGGCAAACCCTTCCAACAGCTCTGGGTTCCTTGAGCACCAGGGGGGGGTGCAGGGGATAGGAGCATAATGCTGCCTTTGGGGGCTTCCTTATCCCTCTCTCCCTTCCCTGGTCACTCCCTAGGCTTCTGGCCCTTCAGCCCTCTTCCGTCTTCAGGATGACCACACACCTTTGCTCAGCCCCCCTGTGTGATAAGCCTGTTTAACTGAGGGCTAGGGGGTTTTTCTACATTTTCAGTTTGGAGGCAAATAGCCCTCCCTGCCCACCTACTGACTCCCTGGGGTTTGGGAAGCAGCTGGGATTTGGAAGGTGCTTGGGTCTGGCATGGCTGCAGTATTCTCACTGGAAGTCAGCATAGGCAGAAGGAGCTCTTGGTTGGGATAAGCTGAGTCCTCTGCTCATGAGGTTTGGGCCTTGGAGAGGGTAGGTCAGACTCAGGCTGGTGTTCTTCCCTCACCTTGCCTCTGGGAGGCAAACTAGCTCACACTTCAGAGAGGGCAGCTGGCATCTTGAGATCATACAGCCCTGACCCTCACTGTATCCTGCTGCTTGTGGTTTTGGTGGCATTTTCTGAACAGCAGACAGTAGAGAAGCCTGACTGTCCCTGGCTGTCCCTATTCTGCCTGGCAGGGTGGGTCTCAGCCTCTGGGAGCTAGGAGTCCCGGGAGCTAGGAGCTGGGAGTAAAAAAGCCCCTAAGAAAGGCTAGTACACATCTCAGTAAGAATGTCAGAAGGAAGCCTCGGCTGGTGAAGGGCCATGGTCCCTTGGCCTCACGTGGAACCTGGGAGGATGCTGGCGTTCAGCCTCTGCTTACCGGCCCAGCTCACCTAGCCCTAGGGTTTAAGGATGTGAGAAAATGGCTGTTTCTCAGCAGCAGTGGCTTTTCCACGCAGGATGGAGGAGGCTGGTCAAGTCCACAGTGAATGAGTTGGAAGCTAGGGAGCTGGGGCTGCTGAGCTGTGGTGCTCACGCAGGGGGGTTTCTGAGCAGGGACCTCAGAAACGGAAGGCTTAAAGCAGGAGGGGCAGGCCTTCAGCAGACCACGCCAGGACCCAAGGCAGCCTCTCCATGGCAGTCACTCCGGCTCTGGCCTGGTGACCTTCTCCGGCTGCCAGCGGTTATTTAGCGATGCAGGAAGAGTTTTGGCCCCACCCTTTCCCACACTGCCCTGTTCCCAGAGTGACTCAGCCTGGACTGGTGGTGGGGCTGGGACTGCCCCTATCCAGTGGGCAGTCCAAGGCCTCTGGAAAGGGCTCAGAGCTCAGATGTGGTACGGGACAGTTTGAAGGACCATTTGTTCTCACCAAGGCCCTGCAGAGGTCCGTTAGCCAGCACACAGATCCTGCCCCGGGCCTGGATCCTTCGGAAGAGTTCCTGAGGCCACAGAGTTCTCTCCCCCAGCCCAGCTCCGGGGCAGCAGGCTTCGCTGGGGCTCCAGTGGACGCTCTTAGAGCCCCACCATCCTGGGCTGCTCTCGTGGGGACCCCATTCTTGAGAAGGTGCCAGCCCTGCCTGTGTACTTCAGCCTCTACCCTGGTCTCCTGGCTTCCCTGGTCTACCCGTAGATCATTGAGAAACCCCATCTGGATATGCCCATAACCCTCCTCACCTGCCCTTCAGCCTGAGTCTCTACTCTCTATGTGGGATTTTCCCAACAGGTTATCCCAGGGGCCTTCCAAGGCACCACTCACTAGGCTCAGCAGCACCTTTTAGGTACCCGCAGGGCCTACTGGTGATAGGACAGTGAACAAGCCATGTCTGCCCCAGTACAGTCATGATACATTTGGGTGACTAGGTACTGTGACCTGTAGTGACCATTCTGATGGAAGGTATGTCAGATGCTGAGGGGATGGAAGAGGACCAACTCCACTAAAGGCAAACTGGGGAACTTCCCGGAAGAAGCAACTGTTAAGCCTCCTGAAGGTTTAACTGAAGAGGAGTTTGCCAACCAGTGAGTCAGGGTGACCCTCTCAAGCAGAGCCCTGCATGTGCCCTGGTTTCTGAGGCTCTAAGGGACCAATGTCATTAGGGGCTGAGGCAAAGAAGGTAATGCAGTGCACCTGTGGTCCAAGGCAAGGAGTCTGGCCCACACTGTGAATTACAGGGCGGACAACGGAGAAGATTTTCAGCAGGGATGAGGAGATTGGATTTGGCTTTCACAGACCTGCTCTGGCAGCAGGGTGGGCTGGAGTATGGAGAGGCTGTTAGGCCCAGGAGGGCATCGTCCGGGTTGAAGGAACTAAAGCTGGGGCTAGGCAGGCTGATTGGAGGACCACTTAAGAGAGACTGGGCAGGACTTGAGGTCCACGCAGAGGGGAGTGGGGGTTGGAGAGAGGGAGGGCTAGGGACAACTTCTTGGACTCTGAGTAGTGTGGGCCCTGCTGAGTGAGAAGGTGGGGATCCGAGACAGACCTCTTTTTCCAGAAGTTTAACAAAAGAAGGGAAGAGAATGGAGCAGTACTTTGATGGGGAGGTAGAGCTTAAAAGCTCATACATGGGGTTTTGGAAAGAGGTTTTATACCCACCCTCCCAGCCCCAAAGCATCTTCATGCATGAAGGTGTGCCCCACCCCTGCCCTCTCCAGAGCGTCACTCCGGATGCCACTCTCCTGCCTGTTCCCATAGAGAACACCTGCTGCCTGACTCGGGGGTGCCCTTCTGTGGTGCGTCTGAGCCCCTCTGATGCTCCCTGCCCCCTCCCCTCCCTCTTCCACAGGCACCCAGCATGGGCACCGTTATGGGGGTGTACCTGCCCTGCCTGCAGAATATCTTTGGGGTTATCCTCTTCCTGCGGCTGACCTGGATGGTGGGCACAGCCAGTGTGCTACAGGCCCTCCTCCTTGTACTCATCTGCTGCTGCCACCACCTGAGGATCCAGGCTGGGGCAGGGGCACGGCTGCCCCACAGAGCCCCCCGCAGCTGAGCTGCTCATCTAGGCCTTCCTTCCCACAGACCTTGCTGACGGCCATCTCCATGAGTGCCATTGCCACCAGTGGCGTGGTTCCAGGTGGGTGAGCGTCACCCCAGGCTTGACTGGGGGACTGGGCCCAGAATCCACCTTGACATCCCTCAGGACCCTCACACCCACCCCACCCCGGCCCCAGCAATTCTCTGGGGCACTCTTAGTCCTGGACTCCACGACAGTGCCACCACTTTGGTGCATCCTTGTGTGACAATTTGAGATTGCTGCCCTGTTTTGTGTTCTGTGCTTCGTTTGTTAGTGTAAAAGTGATTTTTTATAAAGGAGGTTGAGGCTGACAAAGAAGGTGATAGGATGTTAGGGCATACATGGTGGCCCTAGCGAAGGAGCCTGGACCACACATCAGATTACAGGATACACGGTGCAGAGAGTTTTCAATAGGGATGAGGAGATTGGACTTGGTTTCCAGATACCCTGTTTATTTATATAGTCAACCATGTATTTATGTCAGTATGGATTCCTGGATATATATTGTATTCTTTGACTAATAATCTAGTACTATATTTATCTTGTTGCTCAAACTGTTCCACTTAGGCTATTTAACTATTCAGGTTGGTTCATGTGTCTGGATCCTTTTTTCTTTTTAATAACAGTTTTATTAGTATAAAAGTAACAGGGGGAAAAGGTAATATATATATTTACCATAAGAGGGTTTGAAAGAGCAGAAAAATGTAGAAAGGAAAATTGAAGGTACCCATAATCCCACCACCCTGAGGTTATAACTCTTAGCCTTTTGGTGCATTATCATAGGGCCTTGTAAAGTACTGATATATATTGTTTTTCCCAAATTTTGTGTGTGTGTTTGTATATTTCCCAAATGTTGTTAACAGTTTGTTTTTTTATACAGGAGTGGTAGGGTATTACCTAATTTATGTGACTATTCTCCTCTTCATGGGTTCTACTCTTCACTGTTATAAACAATTTTTATCAGGAATTGCCTTGCACACGGGTCTCTGTTCACACCCTGGCAGTTCCCTTCGGAGAGGGCCCCAGAGGCAGGATTACAGCATGAAAGGGCTTGACCTTATTATAAGTTTCTTGACTCCTAGTCCCACATTTTTCACCAGAGAAGTTTTATCAGGAGCACCATGGAATCACTCTTGTGATTCCTTCACCCTCTGGCCCTGGGGCCCAGTATTGACTCTGTCAGTCTTGCCAGGGGTGTTATACTCTGATGGAGGCACAGACTCAGGGCAGGAGGGTCAGCTATGGACACCTACCTGGTGGCAGGCCCTATGCTGGGTCCAAAAAATTGGGCAAGGCACATTTCTTGCCCTGGTCTGGGGTGGTTCGGACTATCAGACATAGCCCCTAGGAGGGGCGAGGCATCCTGAAATAGGACCCACCCAGTTAGAGGAGGCTGCGGGGACTGGCTGAAGTCCAGGAGTTGAGGGACAATGGGCCACTGAGGCGCTGCTGCAGATCCAGAGCTGGCCTGTGCTGGACGTTGGAGTCAGGTGGGAGTGAGGTCCAGTCCCAGCCTGGCCACTTACTAACCATGCAGCCTTGGACAAGTCTCTTAAATATTCTGCTCATCTGTAAATGGGAAAAGTGGTCCCTGTCCCTTAGGTGGTTGTGAGGGGTTGTCTAGGGGAAGACCCCCTTGAAGGAGAACCAGCCTTAACTTGTGTACACTTCCTCTGTTGTAGCTGGGGGCTCCTATTTCATGATCTCCCGCTTGCTGGGGCCAGAATTTGGAGGTGCTGTGGGTCTGTGTTTCTACCTAGGAACAACATTTGCAGCAGCCATGTACATCCTGGGGGCCATTGACATCTTGCTTGTAAGTTGGGCTAAGCCCTGACCACGTAGGTCTTGTCCACACAGTCCCTTTCCTATAGACGCAGGATGCCTCTGCACCCCTCACCTCTGGTCAGTGTCTTTGACTTATAAAGTGGGGGCCTCCTTGAGGGAGATAAATCTTTGCCCAGACAGTCTCCCCTCCAGTCCCTTGCCAGTTTGGGCCAGGCTGCCTTCACTTTGGCTCTGGAGGTTTCACCCACCCGGGCACCATTTCTGTCATGCCCGGTGGTCTGTGAACTGTTGGCATTTAACTCAATGACAGATCTTGGTGGTGATGCAGAGCCTCCTCCTGGGCTTGGGTGGGCTGTGTGCCAAGGCCCTTCAGATCCATCTTAACCCTTGTCTCTAAATCAGGATGAGCAGCCACGGGACCCTTTCTAGAGGCTGGTCCTCCTCGGAGAGCCCCATATACACTCTGACTCCACTTCCCACTCCCTGTGGAGCTGCCCCTGCCAGTAGGAGGAGAGGCAGTGGGGAGCACAGGGTAATAAGGGCCCACACCTGGGGACCCAGACAGTAGCTGTTTAGAGGATGCCTGGCGATTCCCGTCCCCAGGTCCTCTGCCTGTAACGTGGGCCCTTCTCCTGGATCTTCTGGGGGCTTTTTTGTTCATTGTTTTTGTTTTTCTATTTCCCACATTTCTCCATTTACTATTTGGATTTCTTCTGTAAGGAAAATCTGTCCTTTTCCCCATTTTTTATTCAACCATGTATTTATATCAGTATGGACTCCTGGATGTTGATTTTATGCTTTGGTGCATAATCCAGTACTATCATTATTTATTTTGTTGCTCAGACTTTCCCACTTTAACAGTCTAGCTATTCAGGTTGACTCCTGTGTCTGGATCTTTTTTTTTTATTATAGCAGTTTTGTTAAGATGTGATTTGTAAACCACGTGATTCACAGACCCACTTAAAGTATACAATTTAATGGTTTTTAGTATAGTCACAGAGTTGTGCAACCGTCACCACAATCAATTAATCTGCTTTCTGTCTTTAATCAGATTTAATCAGATTTACCTATTCTGGAAATACTGTATAAATGAAATCAGACAACATGTGGTCTTTTGTGACTGGCTTTTCCTGGATAGTCTTTGAAAAAGAAAACCAGAATGACAGGGTTCACTCTCCAAATAGGAAGGGTGAACCTTCTTTCTCTATCTTCTTGTTTCAGACCTACAGTGCCCCGCCAGCTGCTATTTTTTAACCAGCAGGCGCTCATAACACATCGAGTACCACCTTGAACAATATGCAGGTATATGGGACCATTTTTCTGACCTTCATGACCCTGGCGGTGTTTGTCGGTGTCAAGTATGTGAACAGATTGGCTTCGCCCTTCCTGGCCTGTGTTATCATCTCCATCCTCTCCATCTATGCTGGGGGCATCAAGTCTATTTTTGACCCTCCTGTGTTTCCGCAAGTCACCTGGGAATATATCCAGGTGTTGCACTGACAGTCCCTCCCAAGTAGATGGCTTTGGTGCCTGAGTCCCAGAGGCCACAGGGTGGGAACAGGTTGGGACCTCCAGTTGAGCAGGTACTAATCCTTCCTCCCCCAAAGTCCCTCACCCCATTTTCACCTCCAGAGTATGTATGCTGGGTAACAAGACCCTATCCCAGGACCAGTTTGACATCTGTGCCAAGACGGCCATGATAGACAATGAGACAGTGGCCACCCAGCTATGGAGCCTCTTCTCACAGGCCCAACCTTACCACTGACTCCTGCGACCCTTTCTTCCGGCTCAACAACGTGACTGAGATCCCTGGCATCCCTGGTGCAGCTGCTGGCCTGCTGCAGGGTGCGTCCATCCCCCCGCCCCGCCCTCCTGCTCCTGACCCACAGGCGAAGCAGGAGGCAGGGGATGGGCACGGAGGGAGACTGGCGCACAGAACCATCCTTGTATGGCCATACAAGGGGGCAGGTCTGGCTGCCTTCCCAGCCCAGCAGTGTCCTCTCAACCTGGCTCCTGGCAGCTAGGTTTCGGTTGAACAGAGACTGCTTGGCCAGCATCCCAGGCCTACAGCAGCCCCCAGAAATTTCTAGCAGCCCCTCTCTTCCCAGCCACGAGCCCCTGACGCTGCCTGGGATTGTTCTTGCAGGAGCCATAGAGGGCTTCTGTGTAGGAGGCAGGCAGTGGTGGGACACTGGCTGATGGATCAGCCACCTTGCATGTCAGACTTCTAGCCTTGCCTGTGGCCAGAGCAGCCTTGTGGCTGATGCCATAGTCATTAGGCTGCAGCCGGCCCCGCTCCCCATCAGGCCCAGAGGCTCTTACATGTGCAGTCTCTGGCTGGGGTGCCCCAAACTGCCCCAGGAAAGTAGGGGGGCTGTGGTAGTGATGCTGCTGTGCTGCAGAAAACCTGTGGAGCACCTACCTGGAGAGAAGTGAGGTGGTGGAGAAGCCCGGGCTTCCCTCCACGGATGCCCTCAGCCTGAAGGAGAGCCTTCCCCTGTATGTGGTGGCTGACATCACCACGTCCTTCACCATGCTGGTTGGCATCTTCTTCCCCTCCATCACAGGTGAGCCCCTCTTGCCCACCCACCCACCCCACCCCCACCCCCACCCCCAGGGCGCCCCTGAGGGAGTCTTGTTGTTTTTGGAGGTATTATGTCTGGCTCAAACTGCTCTAGGGAACTCTGTGACGCCCAGAAGTCCATCCCGGTGGGGACCATCCTGGCCATTGTTACAACCTCCCTTGTGTGTACCCTTTCCCAGGCCTGGAGCAGGTGGAGAGGTGGAGAGGAAGCACTTGCCGATGTTTAGTGACCAGGTGCCCGCACAGACACACCACACCTGCATACGTGCCTAAATACTCACCCCTCACGCTTTCACAGGCTCAAGGAGCGCTGCATGACCCGACTCTCAGCTGCAGGTGTCTGGCTGAGTCTGCCAGCCAAGATGAGGGCCAAGGCACGTGGGTCCTGGGTGGGAAGAGTAGGGGCAGCCGTGGCTGAGGCTGCCAAGCTTTTCTTGATGCAGCCGCAGACTTCAGCAGTGTGGTTCTCTTTGGCGCCTTTATCTGCGTGGTATTCCGTGACAAGTGAGTGAGTTGGGCACCCCCGTAGCAGATTTACCTTCCCTGACACCAGCCCCCCTCATACACGTGGTCCCATACATGTCCTCAGGCTGCTGGTTGCCAGTGGTAGTCTGTGCCACCATGACTTCTGCTTCTGAGAGGATGGAGACGTCAGGATCAGGGCTGGGCTAAGGGGAAAGGATATAGCAATTGGCGGAATAGTCTTCCTTGCTCAGGGGCAAGAGCTCTGCCCACCATAGCCATCCTTCCTGATTCCTGATATCCCTCACCCTGGGCAGCCCCACCAGAGTCTTGGGGGCTTCGTGCATGGTGCCTGGGCTGAGCTTGGCCCCTGCAGGTATGGTGACACCCAATCATCTTCCTGTGTGGGCTCAAGTGGGGTTGGCTCACTCTCCAGCAGGAAGTCTTGTAAACACACAGGCTAGACTTGTGGCTCTGTCTCTGACATCTGCCTCTTTGGTCTTAATGGCTAGAACTACTCATTTGGTTTCAGTTGTTGCCATAGCTCCAGTAAGATTTTATTTGACTTCCCATCTAATTTCCTTCTGTCTGCTCCTGCCCATATTAAATCAACCCACATCTGGGTCCTTGTAACCTTCATGGGGCCCTTTAAATTCTTCTTGTAAGTAGCAGACCTTATTTTTTTCCATGTTCTCATTGCTTCAGCCTCTCCTAAGTCTGCTACTGTACATGTGACCTCGCTTATGGGTTGCACTAAGTGAGAGGCAAGAATAGCCACTAGAGACCCAAAGAGGGATGTGGGAACCATTTGGAGCACAATATTTCTCATTCCTGTAGTGAAAGATTCCTCATCTGGGCCATGATTCTCTGGACAATAGATGACATTTCTTATGCCTAGCTCCCATAACACCTGTTGGAGCTCAGCATATGTCTGCCATCTAGCATGGGAGGATAGTAGATCACCCTGATTGGGCCACACAGCACGAGGTGCATCCATAAGCCAATTGAGGAGGGAGTGATTTCCTAGGGTCTGATGTGTACTTTGTAACCATTGCCTGAAGGCAGGCTGAACCATCAGGGAAGCCAGCTTTCCCATCTCTGATTCAGACAGAACAATTCCATCCACCCCTAAGTCCCACAGACGCAGGAGCCAAGCTGATAATGACTCCAAGGGCTTCTGCCTAAACTGGTAGCCCAAATTCACCAGCTCAGCCTGAGTATAGGGGCAGAGCACAGAGTGCTCCACGACCTGGGGATGGGGCTGTGCCTCTCTTTGGGGAACCCTTGGCTGCTGGGTCTTTATTTTCTTTACAACCACTGGGCATGTTTTCAACAGAGAAGGGATTAGTGCCCCCAGCACCACCCCCTCATCTTTCTCCAGCTTCTCCATTTCCAGGGCTGATGGCACCTTTCTCTCCACTCCCCCAAGTGCCTCTTCTGCCACATCCTTTACCTTTTCTACAGTGCCTCACAGCAATGCTAGCCGTCTTCAGCAACTCTCTTACCTTCACCTCAATGCTTTGCAGCTGGCATTCTTGTGCTGCTTCCTTCTGTGCTTCCCTCAGGAGTTTGTCTTTTTCCTCCTTCAGAGCATCTGGCAGCTCTGCTGTCTTGTTCTGTAAGGGATCTTTTACCTCTTCAGCAGCATCTCACTGCCGGCGTTCTTGTGCTACCTCCTCTCATATCAATGCCATTTCATCCTTCAGTAAATCCACAGCAGTTCGCAGCTCATATTCTCGTGCCGCCATTTCTTGTGTGTTTTTCAGGAGCATGTCCTTCTCATCTGTAGACTTTTTTAATAATGTGAGAAGCAGCCAACCCAATGCCCGCTGCCTCATGGGCACTCTGTCTCTGAAAAGACCTACTTAGTATACCAAGGGCTACCCCTGTTGCCTCAGGGATCACTTCCGCTTGCCTCCAGTCTTGGGGTGGGGCCCAACCCTCTAGGATGCAAGCCACCTCAGACCACATACCCACTGGGGGACAATCCACTGTCTCCCCATTCATAGGGACAGCCCACTGAATCACCCCTCCCATAAGGGCAGCCTGTCTTTTCCCTTGGTCAACAGTGAACCCTGCCAGCCATCACTAGTTGTCTTGCCAATGGGTTTCAGCCCCAGGCAGGTTCACTATGGATTCAGTGTGACCAAAGAAATGACAGTAGAACATTCTTGGGGTGAAAAGGTTTATTACCCGGCTTGTTCTCCTGGCAGTAGGTCGAGCACTAGCACCTCTGCCTCTGCCCAGAGCACTGGGCCGAGCTCTCTCTATAGCACAATAATAGCCTATTGCCTATGGGTGTGGAAGCGGTATAGCCTACCAACAAGCCAGTTACATTATCAGGTGGTTTAAGTTCACTGAGGGTCCTGGCCATGGGAACCCCAGCTTCCCCACAGGCAACAATACCTCTCGTATACTTATCATTATGTGCCAGACTTAGTGCTAAGTACTTTTGTAGTTATCTCCCATGAAGTAACTACTTATCTCATTTATTCACTGGAATTTAAAGAGGATGATTCTCAACTGTATTGGAGCATTAAAATACTCTGGAAGGCTTACTTAGGCACGGATGTTAGGCCCACTCCAGAGTATCTGATTCATTAGGACTTAAGTGGGGCCTGAGAACTTGTAACCAATTCTCAAGTAATGCTGGTCTACGGGATGAAAACTACTAACTAGGGAAAGATTTTAAATTACTATATGAAATAATTATCTTCGTTTTTCATTTTAAACCCTGGATCAGAGAGGTGAAGTGTTTAAGCTGCGGGTGCACTGGAAGGCGTAGGTCACAAGGGCCCCTGAAATCTGTCTACGTCTCCTTTAAGCGGAAGCGAAGCCACGCCCTGTCCTTGGAACTGCAGGACTAGGCTTCACAGAACAGGAAGTAGGTTCGGTGTCCCAGTTTACAGTCAGAAACTCCGTTACCCAGAAGGCAGTGCCTCCCGCGCCGCGGGCGGGCGCTCAGCCGATGACGTGCGGCGGGGCGGGGCATGGGTTCCTGGCGTCTCAGGATCTTATTTAACTGTGGCCGGTGTGTTCTTTTACCAGCTCTACTGGCTGAATTGCTGGGCCGAGGCCGCTTCCCAGAGGGTCTTCTAGACCGGGCAAAGGACAGCGAGGAGAATAGGACCCCCTCTACGCTTGTGAGTGAGCCGTGACCCCGCCTCCAACTGGGTTGTCCCCAGCACTCTGGAGTCTCGGCACCAGCCCCTCGTCCCCCGCTGCTCCCGGAGGTGGTGCCCTGGACCTTGTGCGCAATTTACTCGGCAGGGACTGGGGTCCCAGGCCATTGAGCCATCCCTGCTGTGAGTGGTCAGCCAAGCCTGTGGGACCAGCTTCTGTCACCGCCGCTCGCGGTCTCGCTCCGCCCACTGGGCCCCATGGCGGCGCAGACGCCGGTGAGTGAATGGTGCGCAGGCCTAGGCGCACCAGGGACGCAGTCTATCCGGTGTTGACCGCGGTGATGTAAGTCCCGGCAGTCTTCGCCATTCCCTCCTGATGCTCCTGGATCTGGAGATACTGGGGAAATGGGGTAGGAGAGCAGCACACCTAATTACTTCCAACCCAAGGTTCTGAGTCCAGGCCAGGGGTTACAAGGAGAGGCCCTCATTTCTGACTCTAACGTTGAACTTGTCTTTCCGCTGCCCTCGGCCTCCATTCCCTCGGGCATAAAATGGGAATATTAACAGTTCTTCCCCAGTTGAGGGAACTGGAGAAATATGTCTGTGACGTGTGCTCTCCAGTACTCAGCACGACCCAGACAGCATCACTCTGGATGTAGTTCTGAGAGACACCCCTAGTACTGCTCTTACCTTAAGCTCACACCAGGGGAGTCAGGTCTCAAGCCTGCATCTAACTGAAAGCCGGGAGAGAGGATGAGAACCTCAGCAGAGTGAGGTGAGAGTAACGTTTTTGGAAGTGCTCCTCCTCTCATCGGAGTAGAAGATCGCTGGACAGGCTGCAACACGACATCTCTGAATTTAACTCAGCAGATGCCATTGTGTATTTATTACAAGTGAAGTTAGTTTGCCACTTAGAGCAGAGAATCCATTTTCCTGTTTAACACCTTTGCTTATACAGGTATCTCCCCAGCTTTCCGAAGGGCTGCGTTACCACCATTTCCCTTTTATAGATGCACTGCATTCTTAGTAAAAATGGAAATCATCTTCGAATTTATTTCAGGCAGTGAAAACAGGCGCTAATGTAGATCGTGTAAAGCGAAGTGGGACATGCAAACTTTCAGAAAGTGGGGGATACTCTTTGACTTTAAGCCATCTTGGCTTATGAAAGGTTTCATAGGAACTCTGTACTTTCCAATAGCAAAGGAAACCTGTACTTGAAAAGTAAGTCCATTACAGTATTCCTTAATGACAGTGCATAAGAATGTTGTGTCTCTTGGAATATAAACACACAACAGGTCCTAAGTTACACTCCAGTTTGTCACCCTGTTTACTCTCATCATAGCTCTGATCACCATCAGGTCTTCATTTTCACCTGGCCGGTTCTGACTTCATTTAATTCTCATTTCAGTTGCCCCAGCTAAAGTCTCCCCTAATCTTTGTAGTCATCTCATTCTCTTTTGTTTTCAGAGCCCATAGGGCCACATGACTTTATGCCACTCCTTTGTTTAGTTTCTTGTTGAGGATCTTTCCCCATCTTTGGAGTGTAGTCTCGTGTTCTCTGCCCTATCCCCAGGCCTAGAGCAGTGCTGGGCCTATCCTAGGTGCCCAATAAGTGGTTGGTGAATGAAAAAGTCTATCCTTCCAAGGCTCCTATTATTACTTAGATTAAACCTAAACCCTCCACCATGGCTGGACCTTCTTATTAGACATGCAGCTTTGGGCAACCTGACTTTGAACCTCAACTTGCTGGTTATGAAATGGAGATGATGATGGCATTTACCATGTGGGCTATGGGATTATTACTGAAATGCACAAACACATCAGAGCACTGAATGTACTGGGTACTGCAGTGTTTATGAACATTTTCTCTTTCATTCCCACAACAGTGGTAAAGTGGAAACTGTTATTGTATCGATGTAGAACTTGAGGCTCAAATAAATTAGCATGTGTTGGTTCAAAAGGCTGGAGATTTAAATCCCACGAGTGTAGCTCCAGACCTAGAAACTCAGTTGCTTTAACACAGCATCTGAAGTGCTCAGTTGCCAGGAAACAGGGTGGCTCAGTGGGCCAGTGAGGCTCAGCTGCTGCTACTATCATTATTGACTTTTATTTCACTGTTCTAACATCCCAGAGCACTTACTGTGCTCCTCATAAGATGTCCACATGAGATGCCTTTGTTTTGTGTCATTCTCCAGTGGCTTCCCATACAGAAGGCTTTTCTCTCCCACAGCTGTGTGTTCTTTCAAACGCACCAATCCACCTCCATCCTGGGCCCAGCACAGAGCTAGGTTCTCAGGAGATAACTCAGTGATTCAGGCCATGGGTCACTCTAGACTTTTGCCAGTAACCAAGCAATAGGCTCTAATCTCATTTAATGGCTATACAGCCACCTCACCACCTCTGTTTGACTTTCCAGGCATTGGTATCATTTGAAGATGTGGCTGTGACCTTCACTGAGGAGGAATGGAGACATCTGGACCTGGCCCAGAGGACCTTATACCTGGAGGTGATGCTGGAGACTTGTGGACTCCTGGTCTCACTGGGTAAGGCCTCATCACCATGTGGTACCCACAGCCTCTTCCATTCCACACTCTGTGTAAGCATTGCTGGTTGAGAAGTCCTCAGGAACCCACCTTCTCTTACTGTGTCCTGGTCTAATCTCCTCTTGATTGGTTTCCTTATGTCTGCATCAGGGACCCACACTAGCCAAGTCCCTTAGTGACAGAGATGAAGGAAGGTCTTAGGCACCTTTTTCACTGCCCCATCACTGAGCTGGGGGGCCTGGCATAGAGCAGACATAGTGAACATTTGCTAAGGGACAACTGGATGCATTTTGGCCTACAGCACAGGATTTTTTGTCGAAGTGTTTGTGGTCCTGGTCCCTCAGTCATTGACTTTTCTCCGGAGTCCTCCTGTCTTGAAGCCTTCACATCTGGCAAAATGTGTTTGACTGCATGTACTAGAAAACTACTTCATACTTGTTTCACCCTGAAAAACATGTATTACATCACCTAATAAGAAGCCCCAAGGTCGTGCTGGCTCCTGATTTGATAGATGCCAACCCAGTTCTGTTTATCTGCTTTCTGTCCTTGGTCTAGGTCATCAGGCCACATCCTCGAAGTGGCCATAGGATGATGCAGCAGCAAGTAGAGTGGCAGATCCGCACATTCAGCCCTGTCTTCCTAACTTGGATTAAAGATGTTTTCTTCAGAATGGGTAGCAGTTTCAGGTCATCGCCTCCCTCAGACACCTGACTAAGTGCCATTCATCAGTTGATGAAGCCCAGTGTTTTTAGCCATCCTTGGGCACCAGAATCACCTTGGGGAGCTTTAAAAACTACCAATGCTCAGTCTTTATCCTCAGGGATTTGGTTTAATTCGTTCTGTGTTCAGAACAACATCTTTAGCTAGTGCTGATGCACAGGAAAGTTGAACCCTACTGACTTGGATTAATTAGGGAGCACCTTCTGGAAAGAGGAGTCCCCTTTCTGGGGTGTCATGGTGGTGTGTTAAAGATGTATACCCTGTATACTTGAGACATTTCCTTTTGTGATGGAGTTAGTCAATATTGGGTGGCTCTCAATATTAATTAGGCTGATAAATCAGGGCTGTCTGAGAAGTGCAAAGAATATGATTCGAGTGCTGTAGGCAGCTGTTAGGGAGGTGGCTAAAAGAGTAATAAGAAGGTCTCAGGCATTTGTATACAACATGTAGTACATGCTTTTTTGGTAAACAAGAAGCTGTGTTAACCTGTATACCATTCCCCATGTATTTCTCCATGCACAGGGCATCCTGTTCCCAAACCAGAGCTTATCTACCTACTGGAACATGGGAAAGAACTATGGACAGTGACAAGAGGCCTCTCCAAAAGCACCTATACAGGTAGGTGGCTGAGAGTCTGGTAGGTGGGTGTTGTGGCAGCCAACAGACTCCAGGGGATCACTGTGTCTGAAATTCCACGGGCAGCTTCTTTTAGTGGCCTTCCTGGGGTTGTGGCTGGTCATAGGGCACTTTGACTTGTGTTTTTTCTCTCTTCCCACCCCCATCACACTCTCCACCTTTACTAGGCTTGAAATGTGGTATACTGGTAAGAGGTAGGCCCTAAATGCTTGGCCACTTAGCAGCCTCATGTCCCAGGGGAAGCTGCATAATCTTGCTGTGCCTTTCATACACAAGTTAGGCTGAGTTAATGCTACCTGCTATAAAAAATGCAAACTCCAAAATCTTGATGGGTCAACAGATTAAGAGTTTTTTCCTCATGCTATGGTTAATGTGTGACAGCAAGGGAATGCCACACATTTATTCAGGGGTCCAGGTGCATTCTGTTGTTGGTACTTGGCTTTAAGGTTGCCCTGGCATCATCCAGTTAACCAAGAGGAATAGGAGAGAAGGGGAGTATGGATGGTCCCCAACTTAAGACTTAGAGTTTTTCCACTTTATGCTGGTGTGAAAGCAGTATGCATTTGGTAGAAACCATACTTTGAAATTGAATTTTTATCCTTTCCTGGGCTAGTAATATGCAATATGATACTTCCTTGTGATGCTGGGCACAGGCACACGATCGAGTCAGGCACATGATCACAAGGGTAAGCAACTGATAAGCTTTACAGATGTTCCGTACCCGTACAACCATTCTGTTTCTCAGTTTCCAGTATGGGATTTCAATAAATTACATGAGATACTCAGTTCTTCTTTTTTCTAGAATAGGTTTTGTATTAGATGATTTTGCCCAGCTGTAGGCTACTGTGGTGTTCTGAGCACATTTAAGGAAGGCTAGGCCAAGCTATGATGTTTGGTAAATTAGGTGTATTGAATGCATTTTTGACTTATGATATTTTCAACTAATGATGGGTTTATTGAGACATATCCCCATTATAAGTTGAGAAAGATCTGTAGTCATATCCACTTGTACATATACATCACTTCCAGTCATAGTCCATTGACAAAAACTGGGCATTTGGCTACATATTGTATCAAACTGGGCAATGTGTTTAACTCTGGGTCCAAGAAGAGACCAAGGATATGGGAAACATATATCAGTCTGCTAAACTTAGCTTACATTAGAAAGGTTTCTGCATCATTCATTGGATTGTTTGGGAATGTAATTCGATAATGAGAAAGTGTTTCTTAGCATCTTACCTGACCCAAACTAAGTGGCTTAACAAAAGTTACCTATTAGTAATATTCATGTATTATTACTCATAATGAATAGTGATATCTTGAACTTTCTTCTAGATTCAGAAAAGGCTCCTTCATTTTTCTGCAGATTACTGCCTCCAACTATACTTTGCATCTACCCTTTTCCACCTTTTCTATCCAATCGTTTATTTTCTATACTTCCATACATGCATCTGTCCTTCCATTTATGAATCACATTTTCAGAAGCAGTCCCCAAATTGGCTTTTCTTGTCCTCCTGTCTTGCAAAACCTCAAGGAGGTATCTGACTTTGTCAGCCCTACATCTGGACTGCAAAGGGCAGCTGGAGCCATCAAGCATGTGAGGTGCCAGTGCAGATTCATGATCTCACCCATCTAATGTTCCTTCAGGCTATAAAGCCAGTCAGTGGGTGTCTCTGGCCAGCCCCTCTCAGCCCCTCAGGATCTGTCTCAAACCTTCACCCCTCTCCAAGTTCCACATCTTCACTCAGATGTGTCAAAGGCACCCTCATACTCATCATGCCTAAAAAGGACCTCATAACCTCACTCCTCCCATCTTCCCATTTTCAATTAATGGCCATTCAGTAAGTCGAGAAAGCCAAAAACAAACTTGGATAATCCCTTAATATCTTCTTCCTACTCCAAATCTAGCCATTCCTGATATTTCATCATATATATCTCCTAAATCCATCACCGTAACCAATTCCATCAGTCCCAGCATTGGCACCTGAGTGCAAGCTGTAATCATCTCTTGGCTGCACAATGATAACAAATTACTGTCTTTTCATTTCTGCTGTGTGCCTGTGGTCAGTTCTGTGTCATATATCCACTTCCCCATCTATTCACACCTTGTTCCAAATATCACCACCTCCCCAGCCACTGATATCTCAGCATTATGACCTACCTCATGTTGAAAATAAAGGCTATGCATGTGTTTTTCTTGTTGTTTAACCCATACTGGCTCATCTCTGCAGAAGAGTTCTCATCCTTTGTCATGACTAATTCACCCAGCAGAGTCTAGATCACACCTTCACCTGCCTTCTCCGCAGGTTGTATTAGTCATCTGTTGCTATGTAGTAATATTACCATAAACATATCAGCTTAAAACATCACTCATTTTTTATCTCTCATCTGTGGATCAGAAGTTCAGGCACAACTTAGCTGAGTCCTCTGCAAATTTGCAATTACAGGCTGCTCACAATGTCAGCTTCTTCAGATCAAGTCATGGTATAAGACACTTCAGCAAGACGGATGCTACACATATGCTTTATCTCTTACATTCTATCAGCTTTGCCATATGCTGTTCTTTAGAAGTGAATCAAGGTCCTGCCAGCATTCAGGCAGAAGACATTATAAAGTGGTGTGAACACCACGAGAAGGGGTTATAGGAGGCCATACATGAGTCTGTCTGCTGCATCAGGGAACATGCTTCTTCACTTATTTTCTACCTCTTCCATATCTTCCATCTTCTCTCACACAATATAAACAATATGGTAAAGTTTCTGACACTTGTGGGAACCAAAACAAAAACTGCCCTTGGCTCTCCAACAGCAAAAATGTAGACTCTATTTTGCCTTAATGATCAAGCTTCTTGGAAGAGTTTTCTTATTCTTAGAAGAAACATCTACACAGGACTCTGAGACTTCCCCTTTACTATTTTTTTACTATTTTATTTAATTTTTGTACTGAGGTATAATTTACATATAGTGAATGTACAGATCTTAAAAGTACATCTTTATGAAGTTTTCTATACACACACACCGCAGAGTATCCACCACTCAGATCAAGAAATACAATATTTCTAGCACTTCACAGGCATCTGGTGCTCCCTTCTTGTCAATATCCCCTTCTACAAAAGTAACCACAGTGTTTACACTGTCACCATAGGCTAGTTTTGAAGACTTAAAAATGGAACCCCACAGTACATAATACTATCGTGTCTGTCCATTATGACTCTGAGATTCATTCATGTGGTTGAATATATTTGGAGGTAGATTCTTACTGTACAATATTTCAATGAATGAAAAAATTATATATACCTATTTTCCTGTTGATAGATATTTGGCTTGAGTTCCATTTTCAGAATATTACGATGAATGCTACTAATCAATAGTCTTTGATCATATTTTTTGTTAGATACAAGCAACATTTCTGTTGGGAATATACATATGAGTGGACTGGCTGGATCATGTACACTATGTATGATAGCTCTAGTGGAAAGCTCCAAACAGTTTCAAAGTGACTACAGTTTCACATTCCCACCAGCCGTGTATGAGTCCTCACCGCTCCATATACCTGGTGAGCAGCTGGTATCTTCCCCTTTATTCTTTCAGGCATAGTAATGTAAGTCTTAGCACCACAGGACTGAAAATGCTCTTACTCAGGTTACTGGTGACATTCTAATTGACAAATGCAACAGCTGTAATGACGGTGGATGGTGGTCTACAGTTTACTGAACATTTGCCATTTTTGTGCTGATAATTTACATGCTTTTTCTCAGGTAATATCATTATGAACTCAATGTGTCCTCCCCAAAATTCATATGTTGAAGCCCTAACCCCCACTGTGATGATATTAGGAAGTGGGGCCTTTGGGAGATGACTGGATGTAGATAAGGTCCTGAGGGTGGAGGCCCCATTATTGGGATTAGTGTCCTTAATAAGACAAAGAGGAAGCATGGCCGTTCCCAGGTGTGGTGGGTGGTGCTAGGGTTGGTGGAGAGAAGAGGGAGAGCCCACTGGTGTCTCTTCTAGGGACACCAATCCAACCAGGTCTTATTTAACAACTGCTGCTGTAAAGGCCTTGTCTCCAAATACACATTGGAGGTTTTAGGGCTTCAACACATGAATTTTGGGGGAACCCAAACATTCAGTCAATAACAATTTGTCTTTTTTGGATATATATCAGACTATTCAGGTATTCTGTTTTTTCTTGTGTCGGTTTTAGGAACTGAGTCTTTTAGAAAATTTGTCCACCTCATGTAATTATTTTATCCATTACTTTTAAAGATTGTTTCTTAAAATGATAAATTTTATGTTATGTATATTATACAATTAAAAATCGCTAAAAATAAACGTAAGATATGTACATATCATTTTATAAAGCCATTAAAAATTGACATTCTCAAAATAATATTATTTCATTATACTCGTGTGGGTATTCTGCTTTTTATTTAAACCTTATAAAAAGTACATCACAGCTAGTATTGTCTTATGTAATTTGTGCTTTTTTATTCAATAGTATATTATAAAGGTTTATGATGCTTGTAGCTGTAGTTCACTCATATTTTTTTTTAGTCGTATTAATATAACAATGTATTCATCCATTTTCATGGGCATTTTCTTGTTTCCAGTTTTGCACCCATAAACAGTGCTGCCTTGAAAATTCACATACATATTATTGTCATGCACATATGTAGGAATTTATCTAGTAATGTTCCTAGGGCTGGAATTTTTGGTACATAAAGCAAGCAAACAGAGAACTTCATTAGATGATGCCCTGTTGTTTTTCTAAAATGGTTATTTTTACACTTCACCCCCCATTGTCAGAATGATCCCATGGATCCAAATGCTCCTCAACACTGATACTGTTGGGTTCTTAAGTTTTTTCAGTTAGGTGAGTATAATATGCTATCTTGTTGTAGTCTTTTTGCCCATCCCTCATATTCAAGAAAGTTGAGTACCTCTTCATATGCTTATGATTTTTATTTTGAAATCTTTATCAAGAAGATTGGTGATTTCAGTTTCACTTAGTCCTCTTTCTAGAGTTTGAGGGATTTTGGGTTGTGCAAGATTCTTTCGCCGTTTCATATTTCTGATGATAATTATGGAATAGCTTTGTGTAGGTGGCACCCTCTAGTGCCCAGAAGCTCTACTCTCTGGAGCTGCCCAGCAACTGGAGCGATGGCGGGGGTCACAGGCAAGTGGCACCGGTGCCTGCCAGGAAGAAAGAGCTCTTTCCTGCCTCCCAGCTGCAGTGCCTGCCCCTACTGCCAGGGCTGCAGGACTGCAAACCGGTGCTGGCTGGGAGGAAGAAGTGGCAGGCTGTGTATGGCAGTAGGGGGCCTCAGTGCTAAGTTGCCAGTGAGGGAAATGGAGTGCCTGAAACTCTTGAAAGTTTCCAACCTGCTGGGCTGAGTGTGCCAGAACAATTTTGTCCACCTGTTCTTTCTCCTGAGCAGCAAGCTCTGTGTAATCCTTGTCCCTTCAGCAGCTTTCTTGCTGTTAGGAAGTCTTTCAAAGTGCCCACCTTTCTTTTGTCCTGAACCTGCTGGTTATAGCACCTCTTATGTTGATTGACCAATATGTATTTTCTGTGAAATTTCAATTCATAATAATACGCTATTTTCATTTTGGCTGTGGACTGTTGAGGTTCCCATCTGTAACTGCAGTTTTGTCTATTTCTCCTTTCAACTCAGGTTTTGGTTTGTATATTTTTAGGCTCTCACATTTAATGTTTACAGATTTTAGTTGTTATGTCTTCCTGGTTGATTGATCTTTTATCATTATGTAATGTCCTTTGTGTCATTTTCTTTGCTCTGTAGTCTGTGTTTTTGATAATATGACTACCTTTGTTTGCCTTTTAAAAAATTATATTTAATTTAGCCAAATTGACTGGTCTTTTCTTTTACAATTAATATTTAATGTTTTTGTATCTTATGAAATCTTTCTCTTTCCCAAGACCTAGAAAATACTCATTTTTACTATTTACTATAGGTTTTTAAGTTTAGCTTCTGACAGTTAAGTCAGTCCATCTGGAGTTAATTTTTTGTGTGCTGTGAGGTAGGAATACAATTTCATTTTCTCTCATGGCAAATTATTTTTCTAGATCCATTTGTTGAATAGCCCCTCCTTTCTCCACTGTCCTTCCTGCTACTTCTATCATATATCAAAGTTCCATACATACATTTCTGAGCTCTCAATTCTGTTTTTTTCTTTGACAGTCTGACAGCTTATCTTATATCTATACCTAAGTCACACTGCCTTCATGTATGTAATTTCATCATAATCCTATTGGGCAAGACCCCTGCTTTATTCTCTTCAGAGACATCCAGATCTCTTTTTCCTTTACATAAATTCCAGTTTGTCAGTACCCATGAAAAAAACTTCAGATAAAATCTTAATAAAGAAGAAAAATCCTATTAGGATTTTATCTGAACTTGTATTGAGTTTATAGGTGAATTTGAGAATTGGCAACTTTATATTATTAATCTCCCTTTTCATATAGATCTTCATTAATGTGATATGTTTCATTATTTTCTTCTAGATGTTATCTACTTTGTGTTTGTTCCCTAGTCTTTACTCATAGTAGACTCAATATGTTCACCCAGTTGCTTCTCACCCTCTCCTACTTTTGCATAGTCCAGAATCCTAAGATTTTGTTTCTCTTGTGTCTATGCCTGCCTTTCCATCTTCATTTCCATCGTTCCTCTCATCCTCTTCGTATTGCCTGGCATTCACCATTCTCTTAAGACTGAACCTTTGTACTTTCTGTCATCTGCTTCAATTTCCTTGTTCCTCTGTCATGGAATTCCTACTCTTCTTTAGAAATAAGCTCACCTAGCACCTTTTCCAGGTAGCCTCCACTACCTCTTTCTCTGCCCCTTCTGGGCCAAGTTAGGTACACTTTCCTTGCATGAGATGTTAGAGCATAGTTGTCACACACAGTGCAATCATCACTCTGCCCATCCTCCCCTATTCTGGAGAGAGGAGGAGTCTGCTCCAGATTCTCGATCCCCTGCCCCAGCTTTTCCTCCTGGATTACCTTTTAAATATGTCCAAGTCCAAGGATTAGTAAAGAAAAAAATTGTTAACCAGAGTTGTTGCAGGCATGAGAAGCAGCATTTTCATTTTCATTCTTCCACTTAAGTAGTAATTTTGACATCACTAATAGATAACCTTTTTTTGTATTGGATTTTCTTCAGGTGAAAAAGCAAAACCTGAGACCACAGAGCTTACTGCTTCTCAACTGGCCTTCACAGTCCCTGTTGAGGGACCAGCACCACAGGGAGCCTCAAGAGATTCCAGGTTGGGGCAAGTGAGGGATCAGGAAAACCCATCAGAAATGCATGAAGGGAATTTAAGACCAGGAATAGACACTCACAAAAAGACATGCCCTAGGAAGTTGGGCCATAAACATGATTTGGAGACAGTTGATAGTTTGTGTTTAACAGTTTTACAGAAGCAAGTCACTATACAAGATGCTCTGCATGAACATTCCCAAGGACCAGGAAAAGACCCTGTGGTTGATGCAAGGAATAACCTCTACAAATGCAAGGACTGTGGAAAAGGGTTTAGCAAGAATTGGGCCCTTGTTCGGCATCAACAGATTCATGCTGGAGTGAAGCCTTATGAATGCAGTGAATGTGGGAAAACCTGCCGTTATATGGCAGACTTCATTCGACATATGAGGCTTCACACTGGAGAAAAACCATACAAGTGTATGGATTGTGGGAAGGCCTTCAAACGCAGGTCTCACCTCACAGAGCACCAGCGTGTTCACACTGGAGATAAGCCCTATGAGTGCAAGGAATGTGGTAAAGCTTTCACCCACCGCTCCTCTTTTATCCAGCATAATATGACCCACACTAGAGAAAAGCCCTTTTTGTGCAAAGAATGTGGGAAAGCTTTTTACTATAGCTCTTCCTTTGCTCAACATATGAGGATTCACACTGGAAAAAAACTCTATGAGTGCAGTGAATGTGGAAAGGCCTTTACTCACCGCTCTACTTTCATCCAGCATAATATGACCCACACAGGAGAAAAACCCTTTCTGTGCAAAGAATGTGGAAAAGCTTTTTGCCTCAATTCGTCCTTCACTCAACACATGAGGATTCACACTGGAGAGAAACCCTATGAGTGCAGTGAATGTGGAAAGGCCTTTACTCACCGCTCCACCTTTATCCGACATAAGAGGACCCATACTGGAGAGAAACCCTTTGAGTGCAAAGAGTGTGGGAAAGCCTTTTGTGACAGCTCTTCCTTAATTCAACACATAAGGATTCACACTGGTGAGAGGCCCTATGAGTGCAGGGAATGTGGAAAGGCCTTTACACACCACTCTGTTTTTATCCGACATAATAGGACCCACAGTGGAGAAAAACCCTTGGAATGTAAAGAATGTGCGAAAGCCTTTTACTATAGCTCTTCTTTTACTCGACATATGAGGATTCACACTGGCGAGAGACCCTATGTATGCAGAGAATGTGGAAAGGCCTTTACCCAACCTGCAAATTTTGTTCGGCATAATAGAATCCACACTGGAGAAAAACCCTATGAGTGCAAAGAATGTGAGAAGGCCTTCTGTGACAACTTTGCCTTAACTCAACATGTGAGAACTCACACTGGAGAGAAACCCTTTGAATGTGGTGAATGTGGAAAGACCTTCAGCCACAGTTCATCTTTCACTCACCATCGAAAGATTCATACTAGAGTTTAAAAAATGTGGGAAGGCTTTTGAAAGTGTGTTCACTTCAGTCAATTTTAGTGAATTCATACTGATGAAATACCTTTCCTTGTGTATATAATTATTCAGGAAAATCTTCTGGCTAGGGAAATAATCTTATTGTCTGATAATTCGTAGTGAAGAAAAACATAACAAGTGTCATCCTCTGAAAGCTTTTTGTGGCAAGTAATCTAAAGGGTCATATTAGTAATTGGCCCAGCGTATAGCCTTATACTTACACCTGAAAATCATCCATGAGAGAGATTCAGTAATCATGTATTTAGGAAAACTGCCAGCAATAATTCCCATATTTATACTACAAATCCATCTAAAGAGTATTTTTAAAAGAAAAGAGGTAAAGGAGGAGATGTTGAAGAGAAAAAAGGCATATATGTTTTCTTTCTAGTTTCTCGGCCAAGCCTATGACAATCTGTCATTGGGGCTGGTGGGGTGGGGGCTTGAGGGGTATGAGAGATAAAAAGACTTCATCCCTTTTATGTGTTTTTTATATATCTGAAATCAGGAAAGTTAGGCCATTGAGGGCAGCTCTGCCAACATTTATTAAAAGTATTCTTTATTACGAAACCTCTTCATGTCTACCTTTGCGGAGCATAAGTCTTCCTGAGAAATATAAAGGCCTGGAGTCATGAAATAATTACACACACAGTAAATTCCTGTTAGTCATGATAGTTACACTCTGTACACTTACCAGAAACTATTAATGAAAAATGAAATACAGATTTAGGTTCCTGTGAGCCTCTATTCTCAACATTTTCACCAACTAATCAATGCATAACCTTTTATGGATTTTTTTTTCTATTTAAAGACACCTTACTTGATATAAATCATATGCAGTATTTCATTTAATAAAAGTATTTCAATTATGTCATTTTTATGTAATGTTATTCCATTGTAATTTCATTGCTTAACTCAGTCACATACACATAAAACCAATATGCTGTAAACAGTAAATACTGTGCAGTACTGTGTACACCTACACTATGCTGTATGGTACAGTCATGCAAAAAAAGTCCTAGAAAAAATTTCAGAAGATTAACATTAAAATTCTGATTTTGATAGAGCTGCAACATGTGTGATCAGCCAGTGCCCTGTGGGTAAACCTCCTGACCCAAGAAAACCAAGGGAGAGGTTTATGGAACTTATTCTGCAGAAGAGGAGGATGCTGAGGGTGGGTTGTAAAAATCTAGCAGCTCTACCTCAGGAATTTGAGTCTTACCACTTCTTGACAGCATCAGCAATTTTCCCTCCTGAAATGGCTTGAAAAATTGCATGAGGCTGTTTTCAAGCACATGGTCACATTCTTCAATGTCCTGGAAAATTTTCCCAAGATGGAATTTCATTCTGTTATTTTGGCTGCTATGAGAGGGACAATTCTTGGGCTCTTAGACTGATTTTCATCACCACTGACTTCAGTGCCTTGTTTTACTGTCTACTCCATGTCTGTTGATGAGTTTTATGACCTTCTCTACCAAAACTTCTTCCACAGCTGCTTCTATCATGTTATTTAAGCCTCTTCTGCTTACTTGCCATATGATATGCATCACATTTGACACTGTCCTTTATATTTTCTGTAACACCTTCAAAGCCTTTGAAATTTTTCAAGCAGCCTGGCTAAATGTTTTTCCAAGTTATTGATAGTAGTATGGTTGATACTATCCTAGGCAGGGCCAACATGGTGTGTATAGTGACTGACTTCCAGTAGTCAATTATGGTGGTTTTTTCCTGTTGGTGTTGAGAACTTCGCATTAAGATTCCCTCATGTGCACTGTGAAGGTTTTTTTTATGCCCTGAGAGGTTGGATGACACAGTGTTTAGGGGCATGAAAAGAACACCTAGGTTGGGGTGAGCATTTTAAAGTTCTTCATGGCAATGAGCTAGGGAATTATCCAAAATTAATAAAACCTTGAAGGCAAGGTTTTTGCCCGAGAGAGCATTCAACTTTTTGGATAAGAAATGGTGGAATCCCAGAAAATTTCTGGCATGAATCATTTTGTTCAACCTACAATGGACTATCATATGGTTCAGGTTTTCCCTTAGAAGTTCCTGTGGACTTAGGGCTCTGTACCCCTTCCCTTTAAGGGTTTGCACTTGAAGTTGCCCTTGGCATTAACACAATAGCAGGTTTGCATATTTGAGTAATTTAAATTTAGGGGCTTTTGCAAGACATTTACATTATATAGGCTTATTTGTAACAACCTTGTAAAATAAGCCAGTCTCCTCAGCACCGAAACCTTTTCCACTTAACACTTCTCCTGTATAACTTAAGATGATAATTTTAGTATTCCAAAGCCTCCTTGTTAGGCTGGAGGAAGGAAAAACAAGGACATGCAAACAGAACAGAGAGATACCATAAAAGGAGGAGAGACCAGACCCCAAGGTCCGTGCGTTATATGGAAAGGGGACAGCTCTTTCTTAATTCCATCCTTCTGATGTGCCAACTAAGACCTGGATGTCAGCCTCCTCCCTCTTAGAAGGAAAAAAAGTTTCTAATTGTCTATCATGTCACCTTGAGCCAATCATACTTCTCCATGCCCCCTAAGATAGCTTGCCCACTCCTCCCCCTCCTAATCCCATATAAGCCCCCACCTCCCTGACCAGGTGTAACTTCCCCAGTCTGTGATAGCCAGACTGGGGAACATCACCCTGGAATTGCGCTCAAATAAACTACCTGGCCTTTTGTTGCCTTTCTTTGCCTACTTATTTCGGCTAGAATTTATCTTACACTCCTGATCTGCAGGACCTGCCTTGTCTGCAAGTTTAACATTTTTTAATGCCATACTGCCTTTTGAAATGTGCAAGTCAGCTAGTACTAGCTGATCAGGCTTTTCATATTTTCCTGACACTGGTAACCTGACTGTAAATTTTGGCTTTCAGTTTCACAACAATGCTGCTTGTATCAGTCTTCATTTCATGAATCCACAATTTTAGCTGCTTTTCCAGCTTTTCATAGCTTCACCACACACCATAGATATTACTTCTTTTTAATTGAAATATAGTTGATGTTCAATATTGGCTTCAAGTATTCAACACAGTGATTTGACAGTTACACACATTATTAAATGCTCACTGCCAACCAGTAGTTACTATCAACACAGAAAGATGTGACAGAGCCATTGACTATATTCATGCTGCACTTGCACCCCATGATCAACTTATGATTGAGATTCTGTGCCTCTTTATCCCCGTCACCCACCTCACCACCCACCCTGATCCCTCCCCAATGGTAACTACCTTCTCATAGTCTATGGGTCTACTGTTGTTTTGCTCATTTTGTTTTGTTTTGAAATTCCACATATAAGTGAAATCATATGGTATTTGTCTTCCTCCACCTGGCTTATTTCACTTAGTATAATATCCTTTAGGTCCATTCATGTTGTTGCAAATAGCAGGATTTCTTTTTTATGGCTGAATAATATTCTGTTGTGTATATGTACAATATATCCATTCATCTATTGATGGAAACTTCTGTGGCTTCCATATTTGGATATTATAAACAATGTGATGATAACCATAGGGGTGCATATATCTTTTCAAATCAGGGATTTTGTTTGGTAAATTCCTAGAAGTGTAGATACTGGGTTGTATGGTACATATTTCAGTTTTTGGGGGAACCTTCATACTGCTTTCCAATAGTGGTTGTACCAATTTACATTCCTGCCAACACTAGAAGAGTTCCCTTTCTTCCACATCCTTATAAGAAATAACAACCAACACGTTATTTCTTGTCTTTTGAATAGTGGCCATTCTGAGTAGTTGTGATTTTGATTTGCATTTCCCTGATGATTAGCCATGTTGGAATACCTTTTTATGTGCCTACTGGCTATCTATATTTCTTTGGAAACATTTTCAGGTTCTCTGCCCATTTTTTAATGTTTGTTTTTTGGTGTTGAGGCATATAAATTCTTTATATATTTTGGATGTTAACCCCCTTTCAGACAAATAATTTATGAATACACTCTCCTATATTTTTGGTTGCCTTTTTGTTTTGTTGATGGTGTCTTTTGCTGAACAGAAGCTTTGCAATTTGATGTAGTCCCACTTGTTTATTTCTACTTTTGTTTCCATTGCCTGGGGGGATGTGTCTAGAAAAAAATTGTTCATGCTTATGTTCAAGAGATTTTTGCCAAACTTCTAAAATTTCTATAGTTTCATGTCTTCTATTTAGGGCTTTAATCCATTTTGAGTTTATTTTTGTGTGTAGAGTTAGAGAGTAATCCAGTTTCATTCTCCATTCTCTTGCATGTAGCTGCCCAGTTTCCCCAATACCATTTGTTGAAGAGACTATCTTTTCCCTGCTGTATATTCATGGCTCTTTTAACATATAATTGACTGTATAAGCATGGGTTTATCTCTGGGCTCTCTGTTCTATTGATCTATGGGTCTGTTCTTGTGCCAGTACCATACTGTTTTGAACCTTTGTAGTAGCTTAAAGTCAGCCTAATACCCCCAGCTTTATTATTTCTTAAGATTGCTTTGGCTATTTGGGGTTTTTTGTGATTCCGTATGAATTTTAGGATTATTTGATCTAGCTTGTTGAAAATGCCATTGTTATTTTGACAGGGATTGCACTGAATCTGTAAATTGCTTTGGGCAGGATGGCCATGTTGATAATATTAATTTTTCTTATCCAAGAGCATGGGATAGTCCATTTTTTGGTGTCTTCTTTAATTTCCCTGATGAGTGTCTTATAGTTTCCAAAGTATAGGTCTTTCACTTCCTTGGTTAGGTTTATTCCTAGGTATTTTATTCTTTTTGATGCAATTGTAAATGAAATTATTTTCCTGATTTCTCTTTCTGCTAGTTTATTGTTAGTATATAGAAAAGCAACAGATTTTTGTGTCTTCATTTTATATCATGCAACTTAGCTGAATCCAATT